CACCCAAGTAAAGCAGGGGAGAAATGCTTTACTTCTACGAACCAGAGATTCAATGGGTACGGGGACTTGATTACACTAATTGACCAACTAGTGCCCTTTCGGTACCTAATCTTGCTCAATTCACCACCTAACGTGTTCACACTAACTGGGAGTTTAAAAAATTCATTCCTAACCAAGCTAAGGGAAGCAACAATCACTACATGAACCTAACATGCATAATCAACCACATGCGAGTTTAAATTAAACATGCAATTCAAAGCGTGCGAATCAAGCGAGGAGCAATCAAACATACGCTAATCACACAAAAAGGGAGAGAAAAGCAATTCGAAACCCAATTTCCAATTTTTGGATTTTCGAAATTTTTCTATTTTTTTTTAATTTTCGTTTTTTATTTAAAAAAATAATAATTCCCTAAATCGGCCTATGCTCGGTTTACGTGAACATGAAACAACTCAGAATATGAATATTACGAGAACCGGGCTCAAATCAACCGTTTCAAGATCGAAACTTGGTTTGGGCATTTCGTCGAGCATTTGGTGTGCATTAAAATGCCCCAAATGGCTTCCTCGAGCCATATTCGTGGCCTTCAATCTTACTCCGTGTGTAATATCAAGTGGAACCAAAGTATCAAGGTTATATTATCACATGCAAAGAACAAGATTAGCTAGAAATCACAACCTAAAACGCACGAGAATCAAGTTGGAATCGGCCTCCAATATGTGGGTTCGGGCTGCTTTTGCAAATTTGAGTTTAAACCCAGGTCAAGCAAACCTGTTGCATGCCCAGGTTTAAGCCCCGACACTCATCACGTGCAAGATCTATGGGAAACATCACTTCATCTGAGAGAATATACGTAACATCTACTTTTAAATGAAACAAACATCATGGAGAATGATCAAGCGAACACGTCGAAACAACCCCCCAAGAAGCATACATGCATGGTTCATAATGACTAGCCATGAATCAATGTGGGTTAGCTTGGCTTTTGACTCAAGTTGCAAGCGATCTCATGGTTCACACGGGGCTTCAAAGACCAAACCAAGTGGATCTCAGCCTAATTTGTACACCCATATAACATTCATCAAGCTCACGAAGGTAGAAAACGCATGCAAAGAGGAGTAACAAGTCAAACATTTAGGGCTCATGAAGGAGCTCTAACACTTAGAAAAATTCCAGCCTCAGAAATCAGTTCTCTGGGCTGGTTTTCTCTTGATTTTTTCATAACTAAAACATATTCAAAATTGAACAAAAATACATGGAGGATACTCACCTTGCTTCCTAGTTTCTCTTTGAAGTATCCCTTGGCCGAGGGAACCAAAAACCTGTCTTCCAAGGGCGCGGGGAACTAGGCTTCTTCAAACTGGAAAATGAGATCTGCAAAGAAGGAACTGACAACGAAGGTTTTTGTTGGTCTCCAAAACCAGAATCAACGACCTCCTTTTCTGACTAATTTGACACTAACCCAAACTAGATGTATTCCAGTTTAATTTTCAAGTCACAGGTATCCTCATATATTCCTCATGTCTCTCAAAAACTCCCACTTTCCCTCACCAGTAACCGTCTGACTTCAACACTTAGAAGATTTCTGGGTTTCTCTCTTGACCCGAGAATGGGCTGCTTTTCGAGGGGATTTTGGGTGGCTTCCCGACATCCATTTGGGGCGTGCGACCTATGGTTGGAAATCCCTTTGAATGTAGTTCCACTCTCTAGTTGAAGGTTTTGGCTAATTTTGGCTCGAAGTTCACGAAAATCTCACTTTCCTCTCCAAAAGTCAGTCTGGGACTTTTCTGGGTTTATGTTTTTTTTGAGTTTCGTCTGAGGGTCAGTTTTTGGAACGACCGTGAACTCCTCTCCTCTTCTCTCATCCCTTTATTTTTATCCCCCAAAAAAACGTGCTTCAGAGATCCTATCCATCAAATCCAACCCGATTTTTAGCCCGTGATTGCCCATTTACCAAGCCTGCAAACTGAGTCTCTTCACCAACTTTCTGACTCCAAAATCATCATAATTTGCAGCTGTTGAGTGAGCAGGTTTGACTGAGATTATCACGTGTCTTCAGCAGCTTATCCCTGGCAAATTTTTGTCCATTTGCACTCCTAATGATGGTCTCACACCTCGGCCAGAGTTCACGCTGATCGGCTGGCTGAGTAGGATATGGTGGGGCCACAAATTTGGCTACTCAGTAGCCTCGAATTGAGACCAAATCGTGGACCGGTTTTTGGAAGCTAATTTAAGTGCTTTAATCCATTCATTTGGTCGGAATTTTTGATCAGTTTGAAAGTTGAAGTATATTAGTTTAAGATGATAATCAGAATTTGCAATTTTCCATGCCCAAGTTTGCAGGAAAGTCCCTCAAAATTAGCCACTTTCTTGTCCGAGAATGCCCGATTTGAGCCAATTTAGTCCTTTTGGCTTGATCTGATCAATTTTACCTTGCCCGTTTTCAATTTCAAGCTTGATTAGGGGTAAAAATGATGATTTAAGGACTTGGGGGCGAATTTTACAAATTTTGCGATTTGGTCCCCCAACTTTTGGAAATTGCATTTTGGCCCCAATTTGCTGGTTCATTTGCAATTTGATCCCTCAGGTCTCGGCTAGCTACACTCGAATCCTTGGCCCTTGCTCTTCCGTTTTTTTTTTTTTTAGTAGAATAATTCCAAAATATTTTTGTGGAAAAACAAGTTCCAATTTTTCGAAAATGATTTTTGGGCAAAAAATTTAGGTGTCAACATTGGGGAAGGTCCATGTACGCTTCTTCTTCAAGGTCGCCTTGTAAGAAGGCATTTTTAACGTCCATTTGAAAAAGTGACCATTCGTAATTAATTGCAACTGACATGAGAACTCAAACTATGTTCTTAACACCCTAGGCGATGCTTGAGGTCGCACGACCTTAGGCCTCCGCCGACCGATTTGGCTCATCGGCGGCTGAGTTTTGCCAACAAATAGTTTGAGAGTTTTTTTTTTTTTAAATACCAAAAGTCATTTACAAAGCGCGGTTTTTTTTAAACGGCATTTAAGTCAAAGTTGCTACCAAATGCGTTTTTTAAATACATTTTATCAAATACTATTTTCATTTTGAATAAACCCTTTAATCTAAAACCCTTTGCATTTTCCCTGAGGCTTTCTCCTAGGACCGAACCAAATGCACTCTAAGAGACTGATTGGTACAGTTTTCGCACAACTTTGGAGTATAGATATTGCGGCTTCTAAGGTGTTTGGCAAACGCCTCAATGGCTGCAGTACTTTGCGGCACAGTTACGCTTCGAGCATAATCATACTCCGACGACCTCTAAAGCCATCATGAAATGGTCCAAGATTAATATCGATATGATTTGATGCTTACGTCCGATTTTCCAATCTTGTATTTGCGATCCGGCCACCATCTTACTGAAAAAGCAATTCGGACAAACTTTGAGTGACTTCAAAATAAAATAAAAAATTAGAAGGTCATGAGGATAAACTTTGAGTGACTTCAAATTAAATGTCTACCCCTATATATTTATTTATAGCTGGTCTATTTTACAACGATAGCTAACAAAAGTCCAAATTCAAATCGTAAATATCAAAGCAAAAGATGAAAATTAAAGCAACCACCGTCCCAATCGATCACCATATATATATATATATATGAAACAAATTCAATCTAAAAAACAAATATTTCCATCGGCCGAAAATCCCATTACATATAAAAGGAACATTCAAAGGAAATAAGATGCAATTAAAGATTGAAATGATAACGTGACAATTATAATTACGCGCTAAATGTTGGAATAATTAAATATTAAATCACGCCTCATCTAACAGCTTAAGCTTTTAGAGCAGTTGGCAATGGACCGCGGTCCCATAAAATCTAACATGGTATCAGAGCTGGAGGTTCTGAGTTCAAATCTTTTGAGGCTCTATTTGGCTCTCCAATTAAATATTTTCACGCTTAGTGCCAAGCAAAAATACCAGACTTAAACTTTTAGAGCAGTTGGTGGTCCCACAAAATCTAACACTAAGTTTTTGTTGCTTTCTTGATTAGTATAAGGCTTCGTTTATTTCGCAGAAAATGAATGCTTCAGAACACATTTTTTAAAAAATAATGGCTTATATAGCGCGCAATCATTAATTAATGAAAAATATTTTCATTATGAACAACAATTTATATCTTGACATTTTCGTGGATGATAAAAACATTTTTCGTTCATTTATTTTTACAAGCGATATAAGGTATCATTTTTAACGAAGATATTTTTCAATCCATTCATTTTCGATGAAACAAACGGAGCCTAAAATTGTTTGCCTAAAATTAGACGAAACTCTATGCATGTTACATCATCTTGCCATGTTATATAAGTTGATGAAATTTAAACGAGTAAATTTTGGAGTTTGCGAAACATCAAGCGTTCGTCAATTGCTGAAACGACAAGAGAATTTTTAGATTGAGAAAATGACACAAATTGTTCTCGCAATGTGGTCCCTGAACTTTTGCCCAATGTGCAATGTGGTTTCTAAATTTTTTATTAGTTCAATATGGTTCATGAATTTTCGCTCAATGTGTAATGTGGTCCCTGAACTTCTAATTGGTTCAATGTGATCCCTAAACTTTTGGTACATGTTTAATGTAATCTCTAAAGTATATGAAAATATTTAATATTAACCCTAGTCTTGAATTAATGGAAAGACAACATTGAACACTTTTATATAGATCAGGGACTACATTGAACATACATCAAAAGTCTAGGCATCATATTGAATAAATTAAAAGTTTAGGGACCGTATTTCACATTGGGGCTAAGGTTCATGGACCATGTTGAACGGATTAAAATTTCATAAATCACATTACATATTTAGTTAAAGTTCAGGGATCATTTATGTCATTATTTGTCGAGTGCGAAGAGGACTCAGCTGCGAATGGGCCCGAACCTAAAGCCCATAATGGAAGGTTGGGCCCAAGCCCACTGTCCATTCTCGCTCATGAGTGAAGCGAGCGAGCGAGCAACTCGAGAGAGAGAGAGAGAGAGAGAAATTTGGTACGAGACAATGATCGAGCAGAGCGATTGATTGACCCAAGCTTCCTCAAAAGTCGTTCGCTCGCTTCCCTCTCGCTCGAGCCCATGCAAGTCGGAGCGACGCCGGAATTCGCACTCCCGAGCTCGAGATCTCCGCCGTAGGCCGCCGCCGCCGTCGAGAATCGCCGATTGCCTCCCGTGAGCTCCGCTTTCTCCCCCCCCCCCCCCCCCCCCCACTCTCTCTCTCTCTCTCTCTGTGATTAAAGTCGCGTGTTGTGGTTGTGGTGATGGCCGTGATGGCGGAAAGCGTAGGCGAGTCGAGATGCGTCGCTTAGGGGCGGGGCGGGGGCCTCTCGCGCTCTTTGTTGGAGCCGCGGGAATGCCGAATGAGAGAGGTCGAAGGAGCAGGCGCGGTACTGTTTCACTGAGTTCACGTAGGCTGGCCGGGCACGCGATTCGTGTTTTCTAATCGTCGTTGTCGACGGCGTGATTGTTCAGAGCGGAGTTCACCGATAGATGCGAGGTGCCGAGAAGTTTGACTAAGCTACGCGTGGTGAGATGAGTCGGAGAGATATGGTTTGTAGTTTATTTTCAGGTGGCAGGCTAGTTTATCGAGTGAGATATGAATGGCGATGGTGTGGTTTGGTCAGTTCTGCGTCGGTGAGAGCATGTCATTCGCTCTTCGACAAGTCGTATTGCTTTAGCTCACGCATTACAGAGATTCAATGTGCGACTCGTGCTCATACGCCATTTGAGTAGTGAAGAAGAGCGATTTTGCACAGAAGTGCATGTCTGAATTCGTGTATAGATTGCAGTATACAGTGAGTTTGTCGTCAATTGATTGCTTATGGATGATTATCTTTTACCAATGGAATTTCTGGTGATCTGGCCAAGTACCTTTATAAACTATGTGTCCAGGTCCGTCTTCTCCTGGGAATACTGCACCCTAGTAGCTCTCTGACTACTTTGCAGGGTTTATGCATGGAAACTTGTAGACTAGTGTCCTCTGTTCTGCATTATATTGTCCCATATATGGGTTTGTTTCATTTCTCTGCCTGCTTTACTCAATTCGATTCCATCTTCCTACAGATATTCTTGATATGAGGATGGCTAAGGAAGAAACTTCATGTAGTGCTGTCCAAGTAAGTGTCTTAACCCCCGCCTCCCCCCCCCCAAATGGATGCATGTATGCATCTGCAGCCACATGGGCGGGGCCTAAGAGGTCTCTGATGAGGATTAACCTAGAAGTGCACATAATGGAATTTTGTTCTGTATCTGTGAACAGGCAATTGATTTGCTTTCAGCAGTTAAGGAGCTGCATGTGCTTAACTCGCAGGAGCTCAATAAACTATTGAGAGACTCTGACAATTTTGTAATTGACTGCTTAACCGTTAAAGGATCATCAATAAAGGTCAGTAGTCAATCTGTAGGATCTCAGCTGCAGTCCTGTTAATTTTTGAACCTGGTCAGTTCTTGATTTTATTGTTTCAGGTTGATATGGAAAAACTTGCAGGCTTTCTCCCCTTGCACCTTATTGCTGTGCTCATGTCAGCTGAAAGAGATGAAGCTATGTTCAGATACCTATTATCTGGCGTACGACTCTTGCATTCCTTGTGTGAAGTGGCACCCCGCCATGCTAAACTGGAACAGGTAGTTTCTCAGCAATATCGTTTAACTAATTCCTTTCTCCAATAACGTTACTTTTGACTCCTTCCTTCCTTTTGTCTGTTCCCATCATATGGTTTGAGCTGTTCCACTTACAGGCTTAATAGTATTTGGTATATATTAAAAAAATTATTTGGTCTTCTAAATCAGCATTTCAAATGACATATATTATAGTAAAGTTGGATATTTCTGTATATTTCTTCCAAATTTACTGAAGTTGAGGGTGACTGAAATTTTCAATTTTCAATTTTATGACTCCATGTAAGTACAAATGTCACCATTCAGCAGTTCTAGAATTGAACAAGGAGGTGGTGCTTGAGTTGACTTGTGCCAGACTCTTATCTCCATATCTCTGGCGAAGTAGTGTTATAATGTTTTGTTTCAAATATTTGTGAAAGCCTACTAGTGGATTCGATGGATTGTTCTTTTGTCATATCATTTGTTGGATTGTTCTTTTGCAGTGTCATGGTTTATGAAATTTATTCTTTCTATTATGTTTGGCAGATTTTGCTGGACGATGTTAAAGTGTCAGAACAGATGCTTGATCTGGTCATTTATTTGCTTATCGTCCTCGGTGGATATAATAAGCAGGTTTCCATTTATTCCTGTTTTTGATGTCTTCCCTGCTGAACGTCTTCATTATGCAAAAGCTTCTCTTATTGGTGCAGGGAAACAATGATCCAAGTCCTCTGCCCCTCCTGTATTCAGCATTAGTAGCGTGCAGTCTGCATCTCTTAACAGGATTTATATCTTCACAGTGGCAAGACCTTGTTCACGTATTGCTTGCACACCCTAAGGTATAATTTTGGCCCGATATGTTGTTTTGACAGTCATCCATGGAATTAGGTTAGCAACAAGCAATTGCTTATGAAAGTTTTTCTTCTCTCTTTTTGTTCGTCCAGTTTTACATTAGATCAATAATTCATGTACCTTAGGGTTCTGCCCCAATGGCACTGTACTGATTATAAACGTTTGTTTTTACAGATTGACGTATTTATGGATGTAGCCTTTCGAGCAGTTTGTATGATGACTAGATCTCTCAGGACCAAGCTGTCACCTCATAGTAATGATTTTTGTGCAAATTTGAATCTGACAGCAGAGCAAATGGTTAACTACCTTTGCCAGCAGTGTGAGGCATCTCTGCAGTTTCTTCATTCATTATGCCAACAGAAGACATTTCGGGAGCGCGTGCTCAGGAATAAGGTCTCTGAAATAGCAGATTCATGTTTTCAATTTAGATTTTCCTTCGGGATACAATTTATTCTTCAGAAACAAGAGCTTTAAATAGTATTTCCTGCCAGATGGAAGATAGAGGTTCTCATGTTCACAAAAGGGTCCATATTTAGCACCTTTAAACGGGTTTAGGCATTTCAACGTCCCCCCCCCCCCCAAAAAAAAGAAAAAAAACAGGTTTAGGTAGGTAAAGGAGAACATGCAAGTTTATAGTGCTTGGATTTCAGTCAGGAAGGAGGCAACAAAAGTACTTATTGATGAAGCATTATCTTGTGAAACACTGGTAGGCTAATTACACAAAATCACATGAAGTCTGAGGTTGCACATATCATGAATCAGTCGTGATTTCTTATCTTCAAAACAGAGTACCTAGGACATTGGGGTTTCATCAACGATTCTTCGCTGTGTTTTACTTTGATGAGATATTTAATGTTCTACCAGGAACTGTGTGGAAGAGGTGGTGTTCTTCTTCTGGCTCAAACTATTTTCAAGCTGGAGATCACTCCATCTTTGAAACAGTCCGCCGCTGTTGTAGCTGCAATATCCAGGCTTAAAGCTAAAATGTTATCAATTGTGAGTTGATTGGAAAAAAATATTTGTTTAATATTTAGATATACTTATTAGTTGCTCAGTCTATGTCTGGAATTCTTTTGGGCAAATGAGCCGAGATTAATGTGGTGGGTGTCAATCTGCAGCTGTTACATCTTTGTGAAGCTGAAAGTATTTCTTACCTGGACGAAGTTGCCAGTTGTCCGCAGAGCTTGGATCTTGCAAAATTCGTTGTATTGGAGGTTGGTTTACATATGCTGGGAGATATGGTTTCTATAGGACGGATGTTTTACCTAAGAATTAATTCTGTTAAGTTTCTTTTCAGAGGATGTACAAATGGCCTCTTTTTTTTAGTCGGTGGTGAAGGATATAGAGAAAATCTAGTACATCATAAATGTACAAGAACAACAGGTAGAAAGACCTAAAGTAAAGCATGCGAAGATTATGCGGAATCAGAACAAGATCACAAATGTCCTTACGTTCTATATCATGAGTAAATGTGTTTATCTATCTCTGTTGACATGTTAGTCATGATCTTTTACTCGCTGAAGTCGTGACTTTTTGAGAAGTCTTCCTAGTGACCTGTGAAAGTAAAGTTAATCTCATCACATCTCGTATCATTTTCCATGTCACGTCATAGAGGCTCATTTTGCAGATGCTCCTTGTTAAAAGAGTCCCTATTCTAGATTTTATTTTGACGCTTCAGTTCTTGAGCCAGGAGTCCTTGCACTAATAAGCTTCTTTGTAATAAAGTGGTGGTTTCTGTGTAGGTTCTCAACTTATTGAAGACTGCACTTGGCAGAAATTCTGAATCTTCCGCCGCACATTCTGACAGAAAATATCCATCGGGCCTGTTGCAACTCAATGCAATGCGCTTAGCTGATATCTTTTCCGATGACTCGAACTTTCGAACTTATATCACAACATACTTTGTAAGATACCTTTACCCGATCTCTACTGAATATTCAGTTTCTTTTCTTTCATCTTGGTTTCTTCGCATCCTTGAGAAGAAGTGTCAGTTTTCTTTACTGGTGCCAAAGTTTCATTTTTCTGGCTTTAATGAGTTCAAACACCAAACCAAATTGAAATATGTGACTGCAAAAGTGTTCTGTTATTAATTTTTTCCGCAGGCGGGAGGTCGGTCCTGGGGGACTGTTTGGGGTTTTAAAGCGATGCAAAGGTTCCACTTGCAATAGGTTATCTTGTTTTTATATGGTTATGCAGTCCAGAGAATGGCTAGTTGGAGTATAATTCTAGGGCTTTGGAAGGATATATTTCTACAACCATGTGGTTATTGTTTGTCCATCACGCCACTTAATATTATATTGGTAAGATCTTGAATGTGCCTTTTACATTTTTTTGCAGACCGAAGTTCTCTCTGCAATATTTTCCCTCTCTCATGGTGATTTTTTATCCACTTGGTGTTGTTCTGATCTCCAAGTAAGGGAAGAGGATGCATCCCTGGAATATGATTTACATGCAGCTACAGGATGGGTTTTGGATGCCTTTTCACCATCAAACACTCCGAACAAGTTGAATATAGAATATGCATTCATCCCTAATAATATTCCTCGATCTTCGTATGCCCATCAGAGGACATCACTTTTTGTCAAAATAATTGCAAACCTCCATTGCTTTATTCCCAACATCTGTGAAGGTTAAATCTATAGCCGTGATTGCATAAAATGCTTCGAACTCAATTTATGTCATACTCCACTGAAAGCGCATCATTTTACAGAGCAAGAGAGGAATCTCTTCCTTCACAAGTTTCTAGAGTGCTTGAAGGTGGACATGGACTCGGGTAAACCATCGCCTGAATTTTCTTATACTTCCGATTCTCAAAGAGCTGACACTGTCTTCAGAAATCTGCGTAAGTCAACTCCGAGGTTATTTACTTCCATATATAGTTTTTGTTTCTTATGATTGATTTTAATTGTTCAGGTTCATTGTTAAGTCATGCAGAGTCCTTAATTCCGACCTTCTTGAACGAGGAGGATGTACAATTATTGAGGTGATTTTAATGTCATCACTATCATCATTTCCTTTAATATTTTTTTTCCTGAAAGCTGCAAATTTGTTTGCATGTTATTTTGAGTCTCTAACCGAGTATAGTGAGGTGTGATCTTAAATATATCTATAAATCAATTTGGTAAATGATCTGCTGTTTTGCGTAGTCTGCGTGTATTAGGTCATTGTCTCTGTAAGCCTATGACCTCTGGCATGATGCTTATTATCTGTACCTGCCAGGACAATTGCGACATGTTAAATGCTTGAATCCTCGTTAGAAAAATTTAGTTATCTTAACAGAGGCACCAAACGCATGGTGAAAAGAAAATTAAATGAAGAGATTCTGTATATATATAGTCCGCCATAACAATAGAGTATGGATGGTTTGGACTTGACGACCAGTAAAAGATATAATGCCTCAAAATGAGGCAGCCCGCTAAATGGGGCACAACCTTAATTTTAGTTTGGTTATCACTCCTTGTTTTGGCTGGTCTCGATATATCTTTATTTTTAGAAAACAGGGGCTGTTGGTTTTCTTGAATATCCAGAGAAGCTAGATTACTTTCTGAATTGTTGGGAGGAATCTTATGCGGGTGGAAGTTTGCTCCGTATGGTCAGCTTTGCAGTAGATCTTAACCTGACAGTGCATATTATATCTTCTATCCATGAGCATTCCCAGCCCTGTACTTCCCTATTAATATTCCAATTTAATAGTGCTTTTGCTGCTTACACTCAGCTGAGCAATTTGGTCACATTTATTTAGTTCTCAAATACGTATGGTGCTCATTCATAATGCCACAATATAAAGAGTTCATGTAAATGTACTTAAATGGCAGTATGATATATAAGAAAAGAAATGAAACTGGGAGAGGAGAGTCAGAAAACATAATGCCACAGATCATCCTTTACTGGTACTTCTCAACTCATGTCTTCTAATATGTACACATGTATCTATACACATTGTGATAGAGTGCTGATACATGTTATATACGTGTATACCTATACGTATGGATGTACTGTATCTTATTCTCTCCTATAGTATCATGGTGATAAATAAATTTGAGAAATGTTGTAGTCTATTCTGTTACCTTTCTCAACGTCTTTTGACCTTGTGGCTTTGCATATTTTCGTGCAGAGTATTCTTTAACCAGTTACAACCATTGATCACACCCAGCGTGAATGAAGAGAACGGAGTTCAAGTGAGAATTGGTTTTTGAAAACTATTTCTTCTTGTTCTAAATCATACTCCTTTTCGAAAAGTGCAATAAATCCTTGTTATTATGGATGTTCTGAACTATGCTATTGGAATAATCCAGGAAAGCAAACTGGATGGGTCCAGATCTTGGGATAAGTTTGCTCAAATCAATATGAGTGACAAATATCAGGTAAATTTCAAGAGTTCATTTAATTTTTGTTCATGTTCTGATTATCACTTTGGTGAAATGGTTTAGAAATGGGCGATGCAAAAATCCTTCAATAGCATTGTACTGTACTACAGTTAGATAGGGACTTGTAATTTAGTAGCTAGAATCTTGAGGTCCAAACTCAGAATGGCAACTAAACCTTGTGAACTTAACATACGAAACATGAAGTCAATACTAATTTTAGGCGATAGTGACTGAGTGCCATCCTGCTATTAAGGAACGTGAGACAATTTATATGAATGCAATGTCTCGGATCCTTTGATTTCTATAAATATTACGACTAAGCTAATCCGAGATAAGTAATTGTGTCTAGACCTTCCTTTTGAACCTGAACCAGAGACAAAGTAATTTTTGTAGGAAGCTCAGAGTGTGGGGAGACGCTTATATCCTATACCCAGAAAAGATCCCCCTAATCTTAATGGTAGAAGCGGTAACCTGAGAGAGGGCATGTCTGAAAACTCCACTCTCACCGACTTGGACCGGCTACATGTCAGAAGCAAGCATGATGAGCGTAGCAATTTTTTGAGGCGAGGCAGGGGGGAACATGGTAAATTTGGCGGGACTGCCTCTAGAATTTCAAGAGAAGCTGATGGGGATGTCCAGACTGTGGAAACAAGTGGTTCGGATACAAGCTCCATGAAAGGAAGAAACTCTGCAGATCCCACAGAGAATGGTGATCTTGCGAAGCTGGGCAAGCAGGTGTCCGAAAGTGGGTCTGCAGCAGGTCAAGAGGATGAGAAGGTTGAAACCCATCATAGTGAAGAAAAGCAGCGAAGAAAACGCAAACGCACTATCATGAATGAGAAACAGATGAAACTCATGGAGAGGGCCCTCTTGGATGAACCAGAAATGCAGCGAAATGCCGCTTCGATTCAATCATGGGCTGATAGATTGAGTTTTTATGTATGTTAACTATTCTTTATGACTTAAATTGATGAAGCATAATTTACACTCTTCTTTTCCTTTCATGAACAGCATAGACTATTCAACATTGACGAATTTTTCCGTCTTTTCACCTTGTCCAGGGTTCTGAAGTTACATCTTCACAGCTAAAGAATTGGTGAGAAAAACTTCTCTAGCTTTTTTTTTTTCTGATGCTCTGATGATTGAGAATTTTCAATCTTGTGTTTTTGCTGAAAGCTTGATCTGATAAGCTGGATACTCTAATTCTAGGAAATGCACTTGGTTTCTGTGTGGAGGCAAATAATTTGACGGTGCTAGATTTATGCTCTGTTCTATTTTTGGAAACTAATCATTGTGAAATGAAATTTCACGATAAAGTGAAAACAATGATAAGGAGTTCCTTGATTGGATATGCTGTCTCATATCAGATTAATGGTGAAGAGTTAGCATGCTTGTGCAGATTTATATGCAAAAAGAAACTAATAAAGCTCCCCCAGTGGACAAGGCATAATCGTTGCTCTGAAGTAGCATTCGGGCAACTTATAATGCTTTTTAATTGGATTATCTTGAGGAAAACTGATCGTGCTGTTGCACTGTGTATCAACAGGCTGAACAATCGGAAAGCTAGGCTGGCGCGTGCTGCTAAAGATATCCGAGCCCAGCCTGAAGTTGACGATTCTTTGCCCGATAAGCAGGCTGAACAGGGCCAAGCGTTGCAGCCTGACTCACCGGAGAGCCCAGGGAACGAAGTTCCATCAACTTCGAAAGGTATTACTTGGGGCGCATCAAGAAACAGTGCGGAAAAATCTGGGGCGGCTCTATCAGAATCTGTCAATCCTAGTCCAGCTGAATTAGCTCTTGAGCCTGGCCAACACGTTGCCATCATGGATGCGAGAGGAGAGGAAATCGGTGAAGGGACGGTGCATCAGGTTTATGGGAAGTGGAATGGGAGCATCTTGGAAGAATCGAAAATGTGCGTCGTGAACATTACCGAGCTCAAGGTTCAGAAATGGTCCCAACTTCCATACCCGTCTGAAACCACGGGCAGCTCATTCGAGGAGGCGGAGGCCAAGATTGGCACGATGAGAGTGTTGTGGGATTTGAATAAAATCTCCCCAGTTCGACCTTAGTGAATTTTGTGACGGTCGACAAGAAATTCCGGTCGTGAATTGCTTTAAAGATAGGTCTGTTGCATATCAAGGGCACGCATTACTGTCTCTGTGTAGATTTCCTTTTTCTTTACTAACCAATTGAATTTCACTTCAGTAAAAGTGAGTTTCCTACAGCGAGTAGAGTCAAGCAACAAGCTCCGGCTAGCTCACTTGACTTGAGCTCCTTCTTTTGACTTATGGAAACTCTAGGAGAAGTGAGAGTTTGATCGAATTCCAAAAGCAGCTCGGCTCTGGTGTAGAATTTAGAACTAAGTAAACAAGGTGGGAAGGGGCGGCATCCTCCTTGGGCGGCGGTGGCGTACCCATTGAAATTACACGCTTACGGTCGCAATGTTCGGTTTGAGCCTCTTTGCGCGTTACTCAGAGTTCCATTGAATCCGAGACAAAGAAGAGATCGGGAGATTCGAACTTGTGATCGGGAGGTCATAGCTTCCGAAATTGTTTATTTTAATCTATTTGGTTTTCGTAATCGAAAGGATCCCAATATTAAATTCGAACCCGTCAGTTTCTTTGGACCGTCGAAACCAACCGTCTCTAACTTTCTCTTTTTTTTATATCTTCAAAATGCATGCTTTGCATTTCCACCATCCAAAAAGTCTCACTTTTGCATCTTGGAGTTTGAGAAATCGTGTAGAATAGAGGCTGTTGTAAAGTGTAGATTTCGAAACTAGAGGCTGCAAAGTACAAGCTCAGAAATTGCTATAGATCTGATCATCGCCCAGTGACCCGAAGAGATAGCGCAACTAACGGGCGACCTCGGTCAGGAAGTTTCGAACATCCCGACGGCCTAATGATCTTGTCGAGGCCTAGTCAATGCCCAAGTCGGGCCACCGGCAACAGTTTCGAAGCCTGGAACTTTAGCTCGACCCGCCCAACCGATCAATACATAACCGAGGAAAAAGTTCGAAAATGGATTTTGTAATTTTTCCTAATTTATTGAAAAAAAAAAAGACAAAAAAAAAAAGTAATCGTACAAAGCTCAAAGGCAGGCCCGACCGCATCTATGCCTCAAAGGCCCATCTGAGCCCAAAGGCCCAGTATCATCAGGCCCATTACGAGATCGAGCGTTCACCTTCGGACGCCATTTTCGGATCTTCGATGCTGCTCCCGGCGAAGAACGTCCCCCCTGAAAGGCGTAACTTCCCGCCGCTCCCGGAAGCCTCTAAAGCCCTAATCTCCGTCGGAACATCGCCGCCCTTGCGCCGCCGCCCGCGTGACGTATCTCGGTGGCGGAATGGCGGCCCGCCGGATGATGCTCCTGCGAAGGTTCTCGACCGCTTCTTCGAAACCTCTGCGGGTCTGCGTGGTCGGGAGCGGACCGGCGGGTTTCTACACTGCCGAGAAGGTAGTTCACTCCCGTTACGCGCCCGTCGATATTTCGCGTTTGATTTTCTGCTCGGTGTTGATGATCCATCGATGTGATCGGTCGTTCTTCTCTCGGTGAACTAGAAATGATTGTGGCGAGATTTTAGTGATAGCTGGAATCGTAAGTAGGCGTGCCCTAATGAAGCTGAGAAGAAAGCAACGTAGTGAATAATTCGCATGGATATGGTGTGTGCATTAGCATTTAGGGAGTTTTGAGCCTCGAAAGTGTTAATCTTTTGAGGCTCGGCAAGTGTGATTTGACGCATCTGTGAACATGAATGATTTGGTCTGTGCCATCAGATGCTGAAGAGGCACGAAGCCGCGCAGGTTGATATAATCGATCGTCTGCCCACGCCTTTCGGGTTGGTCCGCTCGGGCGTGGCACCGGATCATCCTGACACGAAGGTGAAGTTTTCTTTTTAGGTTATCTTAATTTATTATCATCTTTTCTTCAACATGCTGGTTCATGCCGTTTCCGATATTTTGAGCGATGACTGCTAAAGGGATGGTGGAAACTTTCTGTTTTCTTCTTTAATCGTAATTTTTTGCTAAATAGAAATAACTGTGAAGACAAATGTCGTGATCTTTCAATGCATCAGCCGATATCATTAGATATGGTTTACAATGGAATGTCACCTTGCGAATGAAGCTTTTCAATTGCTTAAGTACCACCGGTGATTAATTTTTCTCACATTACATGCCGAGAGCCACCTAGTGATGATTCAGTTATTTATGAATTGCTTTTCATGTTATTTGCCAATGCATTGTTTGTTTGGGATGCAAATTTCTCTAAATTGAGCTTATTCACCAGAGACTTGCAACAGATCGTGGTTAATCAATTTTCTCGTGTTTGCCATCACGAGCGCTGCTCTTTCTTTGGCAATGTCACTCTCGGTTCCTCTATTTCTCTGCCAGAGCTCCGCAATCTGTACCACGTGGTAACATTCACTCTAGATCATGATGGAATTAGCCAACAGCTGGACTTCATTTTTTTATATCTGACTTGTTTGATTGTTGATCGAGCAGGTTGTGCTTGCTTATGGTGCTGAAAGTGACAGAAGTCTTGGCATTCTGGGTGAAGTACGTAATGACAAATGATATTATGTAACTTTTTCTTTATTCTGTTCTTGATATTTCAATATATCTGCCTTATCTGTGTTACAATGTGAAGAATTGGAAAGGTTTTTGGCCGTCAATTATTTATAGGCTAAACATACAAGTGATGATTTTGCTTTTATGTTTCTTTGGAACTTTTCTAGGACTTTTCTGGGATACATTCAGCTCGAGAATTTGTCTGGTGGTATAATGGCCACCCAGACTGCAGAAATTTGGAGTTGGATTTGAGAAATACTCAGACAGTTGTAATTCTTGGCCAGGTATTTTTTTAATCTGTGGATACCTGATGAAGTTGCTGATTAGACTGATAGTTTGACCGTATGCTAAGTCCCCCCCTCCCCCTTCCTCTCTCTCTCTCTCTCTCTCCCTCTGTGACATCATGATTACCTATTAACATTAGTTGGATGCTGTAGATAACACATTCTTTTTCTGTTTCAGGGCAATGTTGCTCTTGATGTTGCACGCATTCTTCTGCGGCCTACAGTTGAATTAGCAACAACAGACATTGCTAACCATGCACTAGCTACTTTGCAGGAAAGCACTATAAGGTTTCTTATATATCTTGAGTCTTAAGCTGTTTTACAGACTTGACTTTTTAAATCTTGGATGTCCTTGATGACATAAATTTACTTCAGGAAAGTGTATTTGGTTGGAAGGCGTGGACCAGCCCAAGCAGCTTGTACCGCGAAGGAGCTACGTGAAGTTCTTGGTGACTACTGGCATCTTTTAAATTACACATTGAATCTCCTGTATTTTTCCTTTCAAATTTTAGTTTGTGTTTTTCAGATGATTAGTGAAAGATGAATTTATTTTTGCCTGTTGATCCTGGGTCTAAAGGACAAGTTGTGCACCAATTGCCAGGTATCAAAGATTTATATGTTGGCATTTCGGAATCTGATTTACTCAAAACCCCAGAGGATGAGGTACTTCTACACATACATTCACTTTGCTTTTGCTTGAGCAAATAGGAATTACTTATATTTATTAAAAAGAGATTTATTTGTAGCCAAGATTGCAAGATGAGATATAGTTAAAGACTTGGAGATTTTCTCATAATAAAAAAAATAAAAAGTCTTGGAGATTTTAATTGATACTGGTAATTCTTGATGGTGTTCATGCCTGATCAACAACTCGATGTTATCATTTGGCAAAGGAAGAGCTGAAGAACGACCGGATAAGGAGGAGGGTTTACGAGTTGTTGTCAAAGGCAGCCACCTCAAATCGGTCAAGTCCGAGATCCGATCAACATGAACTCCACTTTGTTTTCTTCCGCAAACCAGATAGGTTTCTGGATGATGGACATGGGCATGTGACAGCTGTTCGCTTGGAGAAGACTGCTCTCACAGGTAACCTTTTACTGTTGCGTTTGTGTTATCTCAGTCGGTTCTCGCTCTTCTGGGCTCCATTCCACTGGCGAATGTTGATTGCCTTGCTGTCATTGCTATGGTAACAGCGTGCATCTTTTGATCTAGCATGGCAGCATGGCCTTCCTACATTGTTATCCGAGAATTAAAGACCTATTTTGGTCATACAATCTCTTTCTGATGTTTGAGCCTCAAAAGATGGGTGTGTTTGTAATCTCTTCCTTTATACTGCTTGGATTTCTGTGGTAATGGACTGGATGATGAGCCCTTTCAACACAGGGCTAACGATGAAATGGTCTAATATTATTGACTCAAATTTGGCTCGAAACATGCCAGGGGTAATCACTTAGCCTCCTTTGACTTTGTTTAATAGGTAATGGCGCTGGAAAGCAAATTGCAGTTGGGACTGGAGAATTTCAAGACATTGAATGCGAGTATGTTTTCCTCTTGTTCGTCCTTTCACTGTTTTTCTGGCAGACTAGTAAAATGTGAAAGTTGTAAGGCCAGCTTTACCACATGAGTGCTTGCTCTATCGGAGAAAAATATACAGAGGCTTCAAATGATGTATACCACTTAATTGACATGATAAAGAATAATCAAGAGCCTACAGCATGGAAGTGATTCTTTTACAACTTAATATATTTGTCCTTATAGGTAATTTGTTGAAAGGAAAACAATTGCTTAAACTAGTACAGTGTACTTATGAATCCCTGGCGTTAATTGACATGGTCTCTCTGTCTCGCTGTGTGTAGGATGGTACTAAAGAGCATTGGTTACAAATCAGTACCAGTTGATGGCTTACCATTTGATCATCGAGCAGGTAATGAATGAATGAATCCACTGTTACAGAGTGGCTTGGTACCTGATTTGTGCATTAGTTCTCTCTGGTGTTTAAATATGAACAAATCTAAAATCCTCAAGCCTTCTTATGGATCACTGATATTGAGCACAACCTTGCGGGTTTTGAGAATTCTGCTAAATAATTTTGCCCAATTTACAGGAGAAAGTGGATAAATTATCTATCATATTGCAGAGTGGTTTCATCTTTTTCGTATGACCCATTTGTGAATAGGAGGATAAGGGATGTTAAACAGAGGAAAATAGGCATCAAATAATTCTTCTGATCATGGGATGATGCTTCATCTCCAGGTGTGGTTCCGAATGTTATGGGCAGAGTTCTGCGTGATACATCTGGCGAATCAGCAATTGATGAAGGTCTATATGTCTGCGGATGGTTAAAGAGAGGGCCAACTGGAATTATTGCTACAAACCTTTATTGTGCAGAAGAAACTGTAAGTGGTCTAATTGAAGAAGTTTTAAATTCAAAGCCATTCTCAAGCATCACTTGTCGTCTCTAGCATCGACGGTGCTTGAAGCATTCTTTTTTGAACTGAAACTTCTGAAACACATCTCTGGCATCTCCCCATAACGTTTCCTAGGATGAATGTCTTTCGGTAGAAAATTTTCAGATTTCCGTTGTTATAATGAACTGCATCTAATTCTCATACTGAGTGCTATATTCAGCATGAAATGTTAAGAGTGTTCTTGTTCAGTGAGTGGAAGCCTGTTCATGTCGATGTGTCTTTAAAGTTTCACTAATTGATGTGGCAGGTTGCGAGTATATCTGAGGACATAGATCGTGGGGTATTGGTGCCATCGTTACCAAAGCCAGGGAGAGATGGTCTTCTCCAGTTATTAGATGATCGGAACATCAGAGTTGTGCCATTCAGTACCTGGGAAAAGATAGATTCTGAAGAAAGGAGGCTTGGGAGTTTGAGAAACAAACCCAGGGAAAAGTTGGCCACATGGGATGAACTATTGAGAGCTTCTGAAACTGATCAGCTGTCCTAGAAGATTACGTCCATTTGACGCGGTCTGGCCAGAAAGTAGTACTGAACGATAATGCTGATCCTGGCATACTTCTCTTGACTTGCCATCATTGACAGTTAAATTTCGCCGCATCACATTGGGCGTGGCATACTTCTCTTGACTTGCCATCATTGACAGTTAAATTTCGCTGCATCACATTGGGCGTATTCTGCGATTTGCGTTCAAGAAAAAGCAAATGGTGTTGCATCCGATCGCCAGTTTGCCTTCATCCTAGGAACAGGAGATGAGAAGTAGTATATGCTTATTTGATAGTACTGGATTAAATTGTTTAATGCTGCATCATTGTTGTAAACTTCAATAATGCATTCTTTCACGCGCTTCCCTTCTCGTACGTCAAATCAGTAAATAACTCAGCATTGACTACAGACTGCAAGATTATGTTTCATCAGAATTATATGTCAAGGACCTGCTCGGCATAGTTTCCTCCTCTTCTTCTTTTCTCTGGCTTCTTTCGCTCTGGTTATGGCTTTTTAATCTGCGGAGGCTTTTGTTACACATATGTTCTCTATTTTTTGTTTTTTTTTGGTCGACATATATGTTTTCTATTACTTGCCATGAAATGTCCTTCCAACTTTTGAATTAGGTCCATTATTATGAATTCACTCAGAAATGATAGATGTATGGAGGGCAGTAAGTTATATGATGTTAAGATGACTTTACTCCTCGACTTGAGGTTGGTGGTGGAAAATCCTTCTGGAACAACAGTGTTGGAGATTACATAAGTAGGTGACCAACCGAGCTTATATTTCCAAATTGCATGAGTTTCTCACATGTTTAGCTAGGACATCTGAGCGCAGAAAACATGAGCAGAAGTGAACTAAGATGGTTGTGCCTTTTGCTTCCCTTAGGTTAATTCTCTGTTCTGATCTCCATGCGATGACAAGTTTTTTGCGCCAAGAACTTGACATTAGCTTCTCTAATATTGAAAGAAGTGACTTTACCTGCGGGACAGGACAAATATGGTTGCTCTTTTTCTTTTTTTCCTCTTACACGGTTGCTGATGTTAATTGAAGATGCATCAATGCCGTGGTCGCTTTCCGCCTAATCTTAGTTTTTTGTTTCTGAAACCTTAATCAAGTTAGACTAGAAAGTAGAAAAAAATGCCACAAAAAAAGCCAAGCCAGATCAATGTTTGGTCGGGAGGGGCGCTAGCGCGGCCCGCAACTTTACTAGCGAGGCCCGTCAACCCTCACCGGCCTAGTAGGGGGGCAGCACCGCCGCGGCCCTTCAACAGCATGATATCTCTCCTTCTAAAATAAAATTTAGCCCTTTTCTAATCTTTATCTATCCCTTACGATTTCTTATTTTTTCTTTTTAAAAAAAAAATTAACCTTTCATTCTTTCTTCTTTTCAAATTTTCAATTTTTTCCGAATGTGGCGTCGGAAGTTGTTACGTCAAGGCCACTTGGCTTGAAAATATAAAAAAGAAAATCACGTAAACTTTTCCCGTGGCTCAAATCAAACAGAATCAACGGAGGGACACAATAGCATCAATAAGACAATTCTTAAAATATGATTATAATATATTAAAATTTTAAGATTCGACTACACTTTCTCTTACACTTTCTCCGGAAATTCTTAAGGCGCGTTAGTAAAAAAAAAGTAGAGTGGGAATAAAAAAACCGAGGAGCATTTGGCGGGAAAATTGGGTGGCAAATGTGGATAACTCCTGATGACCGTTCAAGCTGAGCGCGCAAAAAGACAAAACTAATGAACGGCTGATATTCAACGGGCTCCAACCGACGGTCCAGATCCGCCGTCTGGAACGCTTTCCCGGCCAGTCGTCGGTACATAGTGCTGCACCGACTGTTATCTCCTCCTCTCCCAAGCCCTAACGCAACTCTCTTCTTCATCGCTCTCGCCGTCGCCGTCGTCGTCGTCGTCGCCGTCGTCGTCGTCGTCGCCGTCGCCGTCGCCGTCGCCGTCGCCGTCGCCGCCGCCGTCGCCGTCGCCGCCGTCGTCGCCAGGATCCGGACGAGCAAACAATCTGCGACCTTGCGGCGGGAGGATATGGCTCTCTCGGGGGAGGAGATCACGAGGCTCCACAGGATCCGGAGGACGGTGATGCAGATGCTGCGGGACCGGGGGTACCTCGTCGCCGACTACGAGATCGGCACGCCCAGGCACGAGTTCGTGGAGAAGTTCGGGGAGGGCATGAAGAGGGAGGACCTCGTCATCAACAAGGCGAAGCGGAACGACAGCTCGGATCAGGTAATTGGGATGGATGGTCTTGCCGTGTCCCATTGAAGTTCACAGGCCAGGACACGTCTTGGCTGTCGTGGAAGATGTCGCGGTCTTGCTGTGTTTTGGATGCTTGAACTGCTGTTTTTGTAGGTTCTTTCTCCGTTCGTGCTTTATGAATGTGCGCGCTGCACTGGCTCGAAAATGGCGAAAGAGGCGAGCGTATCCGTTTGCCTGCGTCCCTGTGTCTGTGGGTGATGCGTCAAAAAAAAGAAATTTTGGTTTACATTAGCATTTCTTGGTGACAGGAAACAGAAGAAGAAGTCGCAAATTTATCTGCATGATTTCAATGTAATACGCTTAACGTTATTTGCGACCAAAGTCGGTCTTTTGTTATCCTTGACGGAGTGATGTGTATGGTTGCCTGTGCCAATGCGCGAAACGTCGCTGCAGCCAAAATCGACGTTTTGTTATTCTTTGTTAAGTGATGTGAGCAGTTTGGTTAAGACAATTCGCGTGGTTTGTCTCCTTTTACAGATTTATGTGTTCTTTCCTTAGGAGGAAAAGGTCGGGGTCAAGACGATGAAGACGTACACTAATCGAATGAAATCGGAGAATGTTTTCAGGGCTCTGTTAGTTGTTCAGCAGAATTTGACGCCCTTCGCACGGACATGTATAAGTGAGATATCTGCCAAATTCCACCTGGAGGTTTTCCAGGTAATTTGGTTTCTGCATTTGAGGTTATAGCTGATATGAGTGGTTTACTATTGCCAAAGGTACTTGTATCTACTTCTCATTTGTTACGTCCTTCTTTTCCCCATTCCTTCTTGGAGTCCCTGATTCTAGATCATTCAGTATTATACATAATCTCAATTGCAACTGTTAGGTTAAATCTGTTTGCTCCTGTAGGTTGTTATATAGCTCACGCAACTACTGCATGTCTCTGGAAGAATCTCACCTTTCTGAAGTTGGATTCTTCTCAAATTATACGAAAGCAGGAAAAGTAAAAAGGAAAGGTAAAAGAAAAAAGCAAATTGGTGTAGACATAGTGCACTTCACTCACCCTATGATATTCATATGATTTGATGATCGAATTGCTAAGTCAAATACAGTAGGACCTTTTATGGGACCAGTAAGTTACTCCCTTGTTTGATAGATCAAAGTCTCGGGGTTTTACAAATAAAAAGGAAAAAAGAGAAAAAAGAAAGCAAGCCTTGGATGTGGTTGCCGACACCGTCTTCAGTTTAAGTAGCTCGGTTGCGTAAGCCTTTATTAGTATAGATTCGTAATGGTGATTGACTGGAGATTTTTTAACTATTGCATTCCTGTTTGCCGGATGGCTGAATTTCTTTTCATGAAATTGTGAAGTTGTGTAAGAACAGTTCTTGATCCTTTTATATTATTTTCAGGAAATTACTCCCCTTTTTGCTGATCACCAAATATGACAGTTTCTCATGAGTATTTAAAATGTCCCTTTTGCATTTATCGAAGCAAGATTAGGCATCCAATGTGGCGATGGAGTTCGGGCATCTAAATCTATGTTAAGAAATACGCTAAGAAATGAATTCGGTGCAATACGTAGTATTTTTACGGGACATAACACCCTGAATTAGAAAAATTGTTATTAAAAGATTCTATTGATTTTGTTTAACTGCAATATTGCAGGAGTCTGAGCTGTTGGTCAACATCAAAGAACATGTTCTTGTTCCTGAACATCAGGTGCTTACGACGGAGGAAAAGAAAACCCTGCTGCAAAGATACACTGTGAAAGAAACTCAGGTGAGGGAGCAAAATTTTTTTTTTTTTCTATCTCTACAATTTATTGGCTCTTAAGGTGAAATTGACTAAATGGTCCTGTTACTCTGCAAGCATTGTCATGAATATCAATGTTAAAGCCAGTCGGATTAATCTTGCCGCTCGTATGTCTCGTGTTGGTGGTGTTCAGTTGCCCCGTATTCAGGTGACAGATCCAGTAGCAAGGTATTACGGGCTGAAGCGTGGACAAGTTGTGAAGATAATTCGGCCAAGCGAGACAGCGGGTCGATACGTTACCTACAGATACGTTGTGTGACTCGGCTCCAAGCATGTTCTTGTTCCTGAGCAGCGGGTGCTCACAACCCAGGAAACCAAGACACTAGCTGATCTGTAAGCCTTTGTGCTGCTCATCCACGAAGCGTGCCTCTGCCTCTTCTGGTTCTTGCCGCCTTTAGATCCATAGGTTGTATAAACTAACTAGGAAATTGCTCAACTAGTGCCTGAAATGTGACCTTCTGTAGAACTGAGTAGATATGCTTTTCTGTAGTCGTTTGTGGATTTTAACTTTGTAGGCTCTGTGTATAAACTAACTAGGAAATTGCTCCACTAGTTCCCAGGATGTTATTTTCGGCAGGACCGAAAAGATTTAGCTTTCTTTAGTCTGAGAGATCGTGTCGTTTGCGACTCCTTGACCTTATAGAAACAATGTGGCCTGGGCATACCAATTCGGACAAAAAGAGGCGCGCGTGTTAAGCCAAAAAGAGCAAATTGTCCTAACAACCTTACCAATCTTTCTACAATGGCGAGATTTGAACGTATATCCCTTGCCTATATATACTCAGTAGCGTCAAAATGGTATGGAACCTATCTCTAAAAACAATCACCCGTATTTTTATACATTATGTACTTCTATTCTCGGTGCTCTATGTATACGAGCCTTATACTTAAAATGAATGAGAGCCGTTGCTCACAATTTTTCAACCTTGATATCTAATTTGATATTACTTCCATGAAAAACCAATTCTACCCTACAAAAACGACGCCGGCTTTTCTTACTCTCGACCAAACCACCCATAGCGGTAGCAGCAGCAGCAACTATTGCAACCGAATGCGTTGTGAGTGCTCTAGCTTAAAAACACGTACTACCATGCATACGAGTTATGACACTTCACAATTTGGTCATATCACATAATAAATGGGCTCTGATTTGAATATAAAAGAAGTTCTACGATCCTATTATCCTTAAAGATATCTAACTTAGTCGCATGATGCTACTTTTATGTGGATAATACTCGTTTGTTTTGGATCAAGTACTTTTGCACTTTCCCATAATATTTAAAATACTATCAAAATTTCAAAATACTGTAAAAAATATATATATGATTATATGTGCTAACAGTTTTTCTTTTTTATATCAATGGAGTATCCGCAACTCTTCGAGTGCTCAGCTAATCCTTATTTGATGTAATAATCTCCCGCCAAACACATACTAGGTAATTATCGGAGACACGCGAGCCGACATTTGCATGTTACGAAAGTTTTCGTGTTTTCCGGATTAACAAAAACTCAAAATGGGTGCATCCTAGCATTTAAAATTATGTAAAAAAAGGAAAAAGTAAAGAATCAATTTAGACATATCAAACACTCTATTCACAAAAGCACAATGGCATTGCTTGTATTTTAGCAAGGGCACAAAAGCCCTTATGGCCATTTGCAAAAGATGTCCTTTTGTCAGAGCTTAGAATATGTCTCTTGATCCTGCTCCTTCCCCTTTCCACTAGATATAAAACCCCTTTTGACTCAGGAATCCATAATCCTAATTAGGGTTTTTATACAGCACAAAAGGCGAAGCCTTTTTGTATATCTGCTCTTCATTCTCTCTCTCTCTCTCTCTCTCTCTCTCCTTCTGTCAGTGCGGGAGATTCTGCAATGAAACTGAAGCAATTGGAAGGTCTCCTGGGCGATCTCCAACAGTTCTCCAACCCAAAGGTAGAGTCTTTCTCTCTCTAGAGTAAATATGCATGTTGATGCTGTAAAGGGTAAGCCATTTCTGATCATCTTTGTGGGTTTTCGTCGTCGTCGTTTGTTATTGCAGGTGGAGCTGGAACAGTACCCAACCGGACCTCACATTGCTTCTCGCATGCTTTACACTGTAATTTACCTCACCCCCACGCTCGCCCGTCTCTCTTGTTTTAGTCGTTTCATCGCTGTTGATGAGTTCTTGATTGTTTGGTGCATGTTTTTTTTGGGGGGGCCATTAGGCAGAGCATTCGTTCGGAGATGTGAGCGACAGGGTCGTAGCTGATTTCGGATGTGGTTGTGGTACGTTGGGTATTGCAGCGGCCCTCTTAGGTGCAGAGTGAGTGTCTCGGCTGTCATTTCTTTTGTTGAAATTGTGTTGGCACTCTTTTCGTGGCGACCCATCCTTTTTTTAACGTTTGGTGTTCTTGAATTTGGGCAACCAGTTTAAAGTGAACCCCTTTTAGAGTGATGATCTCATGAGTCGTGTGTTGTCCTCTTTTTTCTTAATTATTATGGGCAGGCATGTTGTCGGGATTGATGTCGATTCTCAGTCTCTTGAAATCGCGTCGGCAAATGCAGAGGAGCTTGAGGTACTAGTTCTAATCGGTAACGATAGCTTTGGTCGATTAGCATGGTTCATGTGCAGAGTGCAGGTTCTTTACCTTGGCTGCTACATTTTGAATGTCGCTAAGAGGAAAGACAAATGTTTTTTATGACAGTTTGCATTTCATTCTTCTGTTTTGGCCCGAGCAGAATGAATTTTAGCTGTGCGATTTGTTCATTCACAATTAAGAACTTATATGGAACATTGATTAGAACTAGTAACTAGCTAACTAGTCAGTAGGTGATGTAATTTTGCATCTGATATTTAAATGCCTGTGCAGGTGGAATTGAACTTGGTTCAGTGTGACCTCAGCAACTTGGATTTTAGGGGTAAATTACCTTGCTTCATGGAATTTGTTATGTCCTGGCATTACCTTGCTTCTACTCTTTCATCCTACTCAATGCACTATCTTTCGGGGTCAAGGCATTGCCTTCTTGATTCTCATCGTTATCACACTTCATACAGTGACATTTACAAGTCAAATCTGGGACAGAGTGGAAGTGGAATATGAAAGCATTTATCTTTGAAGCAAAGCATGCAAATTCTTGGTAGTTAGCATCGTGCAAATACAGAATAAGAGGAGACTATACCTCTAGCTCAAATGAGATAAATCAATCAATCAATCAATCCCTCTCTCTCTCTCTCTCTCTCTCTCTCTCTGTCTCTCTGTCTCTCTCTTCCACAATGATCTTTACTGAATATATAACTCATCAAAAGTAAGGGTATGTGAGAAGTACCATTTCGTTTTACCGGATCTTTTTTTATCCATCTTTCTTGTCATACAGCCATACTTTCAAAAGATAGCAAGGTTTTGTATGTGGATACATATGTGTCAGTTAACGAAATGGTGATTAGGCAGAGAAAGGCAAGGCCCTTACATGCCCTTTGCTTAGTTCTTGCTTTGTCAGTTGACAGGAAATGTTTCCATACTGGATTAATGATAAATGAGATTACATTTCATGTGATATGTACTGAAGATGTATCTAATCTTACTACCATCCTTTACCTCCATAAGGATTGTGGACATTAGGATTGTATTATCACAATTTAGCAAAGGCATTTTTGCAAAATGTCAGATGTGTCGAAAATTGTTGGATTTAGCTGGCAAATGGAGATGCTATAACTTCATGAAATAAACCATCCATGAATAGATGCATTCCATATACGGGCTTGTTGGTCGAAGGTGTTCATGATTTCTTGTGTAGTAAATGTTCGGTATGGAACTTAGCATGCAACGAGGGGCAAAGTAACTACTTTACCCAGGTGCTATATTTTATCTTCTGTGCTGCTGCTTCTTTTTCACCGATCATGATCTCAAAATAGATTCTATATCATTAGTATCTAGTTCATGACCTAGAAAGATGTGTTTCCCAAACTTGCATAGTGGCTAATCCACATGACTTCATAACTCTCTTCTTTTTGTAGGCCACATTGTTGATACTGTCGTAATGAATCCTCCTTTTGGTACCCGGAAAAAGGGGGCGGACATGGAGTTTCTCCGAGTGGCTCTTGCAGTAAGCAAACAGGATTGTTTCTTGATTGTTGCCGTTGTGTACAAATATGGATTGATATATTACATTTGACACCAGGTTGCCTCTCAAGCAGTTTATTCCTTGCATAAAACATCAACAAGAGAAGTAAGTATTGCTCTTAAAGTTTCTTTGGAAGCTTCGACTTTGCATTCATGTCTTTTGTCATTTACACACGAGCTTTGGACACACTTTTTTTCCCTCCCTGTATTGTCCGCTATGGATTTATTTTGGAGATGTACTGGTTGGAGCAGGCTTGCAATTAAACCTTCCTTTGCTGTTTATTTAAGCCTGCCAGTTTTTTTATGAAACCATATATTGGCAGGAATAGCAGCAAAGGCCCGATTCAAGCATAAATTTTCAATCTGGCCCATTCGACCGGATTGTTATACTGGGCTCATCTTGGTATGCCTGGGTCATTCTAATGAGCTTAGTAGAATGGCCTTTGGAAATTACTGTCTTTCATATGTATGACATGATCATAGCCATCTCTTGCATGTGGGTGTGGTTTCACTGGTCATGCTGGGGAATTTGGTTCCAAAAAATATTTTTCAGCTTTCCTTTCTCTGATAATTGTGAAAAAAAATTATTTTCAGTTTCAGTTCTTCATTTTTCTAAACCAGTTATGTTGTATTTTTTTTGTTGGACGGACAATTATGTTGTACTTTAACATCAATAAACTATAACAAATATTTGGTCATTTCAATTTCCTGCTCATTCTAGTTTGGAAACTAAAGAGAAAACAACATGTGTTTTCTGGTTTGATGAGAGACTGTTTCAGTTTTTAAAATTTTGTAGACAAGCCAGACCTACCAAGTGCAACTTTTGACCATTTTTCTGTTTTCTTCGATAGAAAATTAGAAAATTTCAGTGAACAGACAAAACTTGAAATGCATGCATCTTAAATCTGTGAATGGTTTTGACCCCAAAAAATATCTGTGAATGGTAGTACGTGAGTATATACAAGATGTCAGTATACTCAAAGCTAGGCAGTGCAAGTGGGTATGGGCTTCATCTTCGTTTTTTTGTTGGTGGGGGTGGGGTGGGTTTGGGGGATGGGCATTATCTTGTACTGCAACAAACTTCTAAGAAATTTCTTCATTGTAAACGTAATGAATGTCCTGACCTTGGCTTCTAACGACCATGACACATCAAGTGGGTCAGTAATCTTGTACTGGTTTATTTATATTTGGTTGGGTCCAGTTGGTTAATGGTACCTGGTGCCTGTTGAGGTCCCCATCATGTTTAACATTATTGCTTTCCCAGCTTGCGTTGGAGAGCTTGTTAGATAGTTGTTCAATTTCATCACATGGTTTATTCATCTGATCTGACTTGTAAGCACATGGAAAACCTGCCACATATTGCCTATTTTCTGTTAAGGAAGGGCCTAAGATTTAGCTTATTCTGTTTGTCTATAATTACATCTGTCTCCCATAATGGGACAATGCTTATTATCTTTTTATCCTTTAATGGCAGCATGTTAAGAGGGCAGCACTGCGGGACTTCAATGCTGGCAGTGCTGAAGTTTTGTGTGAGGTATAAATTTGCTTTTTCATAGAAACTCTTCCAAAATCCAATGCCACTTTGTTTTGTGTTTTGTTTACTTGTATTCTTGTCTAAAAGTGCGTCTAGGTTGGAAACCCCATTCATCGCATACTTTGTTTGATGTCGCATTTCATTTCTAGTATTCTTCATTTCATGTTTGACAGCTTCGATACGATGTGCCTCACATGTACAAGTTTCACAAAAAAAGGGAGGTGGACATTGCTGTGGACCTCTGGCGCTTTGGACCACAAGGAGCTTAGGTGAAACCGGAAAAGCAGCTGCACATTTAATGGAAACCGCCGTACTTAGAAGCCGAGAAGTAGGATAATTTTTTTTTCGTGGTAGTTGGAGGACATTTGGTTTACCATTGAAGAGAGTTTCTGTATTATGTTCTGTTCATAACATGGGTAGATTGTTCACTTCAGCCCAAAAATTAAGCACCTTCTCTTGACATTTGTAATTAATCAAAGTAAGAGCTTGTTTTAAACTGTTGCCTATGCCATGTTGATGCATATTACTTAAATGTGTCACTCCTGATCACTCTCACGTGGATTTTCTCGAATCCAATACTCTATGTAAATAGTTAGTTCCCATTGATGTTTCTGGTGACAACCCTTACGGGCAAAAGGATTGAGATTCTTCCGACGTCGGTGAGGTGTAAATCGATCGCTTTACTAAGTCTCTCGAGTAACACGACACTTTATACTAAGAAAAGGCGATGTCGAAATACGTTTTTGCTGGTTATGTGCATAATCTGGAGTGGTTAATGTAGCCCCATGTACTGAAGAGGGTTTGGACTGTTTCGGAGTGTACGCACCAAGGAACAAGATTTGATCAATCTCTCCTCGTTTAACATGCATGATGTTTTGTCGTTTCCAATGTGGACCGCATTTGAGTCTATCAATGTTGTTCAAGTAAAACAATGGGCTTCTCGCAGCCAAGCAAGCAATGTTGATGGGTTTAACTCGAGGGCAGTCGTACGACCTGACATGGCTTTTCTTGTCGTCGTCCTTTTTATTTCTTTTTCAAAAGAGAGTTTCAGGCCCGTTTGATAAAGTCCAAACAGTAAAATTTCGGTTCTTTTATTCCCAAAATAATTTGAGAAACGAAACGTTTAGTGAACTTTTATTCCTGAGGCACATTTTGCAAATATTTGTGCCGAGAAACAGTTTTGGAAGAGAAATAAGAAGTAAAAAAGTTGCTTCTTGTTTCTGGCACAATTTTGATAATCAGCTTTTTTTCTTCTTTTCTTTTTTTTCTTTTCTTATTTTTGTGTTGTACTTCCCTGGACCGGGCCGGCGACCGGCGGCCTACGGTCGCCTCGCCCAGGCGGCGAGGGTCGTGACGCCCTCGCGCCAGGGCTGGCGTCGCTACACGCCATGCCAAAGAAGAAGAAAATGGGTAGAAAGAAAAAAAAATTAAACAATTCAAAATATTATTAAAATATTATTTTGGAGCAGAAATTTTGTGTAGTTACCAAACGCATTTTGTTCTTTTCTACTCTAGGAATAGAAATTTTGGACAGTTTATCAAACGCCTTAAAATACTCATAAATTGTTTAGAGTGAGAATAAAAAAATCATTTACGTTCGAAATAGTTTGGCACGAGAATGATATTCATGCGCACCCTCAGTGTCCCGGCACATGTCTCTTGGGAAAATTGTCTAAAAAATTTCAAACCCATTATTTTTTTAATACGGTCGTAAATTTAAAATTTTATTAATTGAGTCCTAAAATTTTTAATTTTTTTTAATTAAGTCCATTCGATCAATTTTAGTCGGAAATCGCTAACGTGGACACTAGCCTTCCTATGTGGCATGGCCAGTGCTAACCTAAACAACTTTTAATATTTTTTCGATTTTTTAAATTCTCTTTTCTTTTCTTTTCTTTTCTTTCTTTTTATTTTTTGGTTCAAAGGGACGACACTAGCTGAGGGCTGGCGACCTCCACCGAGAGCCAGCGAGGGCCGCCTCGCTAGATATGGCAAGGGCTCGCAAGGCCGGTGAGGGCTTCGTGGCCCTCGGACAATGGCCGGTGGCCTTGCCCACCCTTTGAACCAAAAAATAAAGTAAAGAAAAGAAAAAGGAAAAATCAATGCAAAACAAAAAAAATGTTAAAAAATTTCCACGTTAGCATCGGCCATCCCACGTAGAACGGCAAGCACTAATTGGATTACCACGTCAATGATTTCTAGCCAAAATTCCAGATAGACTCAATTGACAAAATGTGAAAAAGTTGATGACTTAATTGGTAAATTAAAATATTTAAGACTGAATTGGTAAAAGTATAATTGGTATAGGACTTTTTGTACAATTTGGTCTCTTTAACGAGTGGATTCAAAGCAAAATGACATGGAAGCACCCTTTTTTTCTAAAACAAAAAAAACAAAAAAAACTAGGATTTTTAGTTGGCAGGACAAGTATAGTTTTGATCTTATCTTAATGTCCTTCCAACATGAAAGTGGAGGACGTGTTCACGTGGTTACATCCCAAGATCCGACCAGAAGACATCACTGTCTATCCTTAGCCCCATCAAGTTCATTCTAACTTTCACTTTCACTCTGCGGTTTGATTCATATTTTATCTTCATATATGTATGTTTTGGTTGATTTTTCAAAAGTTTTACGCACTTGGAAAATATAGAAATGGACATGATTCGATGTAAAGATCAAATTGCGGACGAAAATATTCAATTAGTTTTAGTATTGAATGGGAAAGGTAAGGAACCAACTATATCGTGTCACACGACTATTTCAAGAAAGTTCTATGCATCGTGACATAAGTTCCAGCTCGACGAATACACACTAGGTATTTCATTTTCCTAAACCATACAAAGATTTAATCTAAAGAAGAACTTATATGCAACAAAACTATCGAGGAAATTCCAATTAGTCACATACTCACGACCCTTTTCTTGCCACCACCCGTGCGTTCAAGTCATGCCCTTGCTCTATAAGCCTCATCTCATTTCGATAATTAGGGCGAAATCGACGAATGAAAGACCGACCTTATCCTCGAATATCGCCTTTGCAGTGTGCAGCAACTCTCTTCGATTTGTATCCAACGATGGCCTCGCAAAATGGTGGACTACGAAAACATCACGTCTTCTCTTTCAACGACGGAAATCTTCGATTTCTTTTCGAGCGCTCTCTCTTTGCTCGAGTAGCAAAATCTAGGGCAGGATCTCCCCATTTATTTTCATATTCATGTTAAAGTGGATTACTGTATCCAAAGAAAGAGATTAAGGACATGATTTCCCTGGAGAGGGAACTTTACACAAAGCAGTAATAATCAGCTAAAACGCTCGTAACGTTCTTCATGGCCGCTGTGCTTTGCCTTCACGTATGGAAACATGCTGACACATTATAATTTAGTAAAGACCAATTTCTGTGCGGTTGAAACCGAATCTTGGGAAAAATAAAACCCTAATTTCATCGTCGTGATTGAACTGAAGTCCGACGACCCCACTCCACGTGAAAACTCCATCGAAGAGGAAAAGCATTTTACGGCTCCGTTTGTTTAACAGGAAATGAATGATTTGAAAAATATTTTCCTAAAAATAATTATTTATATTGCTTGCAAAAATTAATAAACGAAAAATATTTTCATTGTCCAAAAAAATGTTTAGACATAAATTGTTGTCAATAATGAAAACATTTTCCATTGACTAGTTATTTCAAACATTACAAGCGATCATTTTTAAGAAAATATTTTCTAAATCATTCATTTTTCGCAAAATAAACGGAGCCCACAACTCCCTTTTTGGGCCGGTTATCGCATAAATGCCGAGCTCCTTTTCGGGATTGAAGTTATTCAGACGGGTCTAATACATCATTACCACAACGAATTAATTGCTAATCAAAGACCGTCATTTCGAGGTCCAACACAAGGGTATTCTCTTCTAGAACAGGATTAATTAGTCCCGTCGAAGTAGAGTCTTATCCATGTATATCACTCGATGGAAAAAGGTGCGTTGCCCTTTCGTTTATTCCGTACGGGGGGGCGACATGCTTATGCATGTCACCGTCGGTCAACGAGCTGATCTCCATGTTGTTAATCGGTCTTCGCAAAGAAAGAGGAGGAGGTTAACAGAACCTTAAAAAGAGAAACCAAAGCCCCCCTTCAATGGCCATTTATCTGCAAACCACTCGATGCAAGAACAAAAACACACCCGATTGTCTCGAGCTGCCTCTAGAACAAAAGGATCGACCAGAAAAAAACCAAACGAAACGAAATTCGGTTGATCCCGTGCACGACCGGTCGAGAAAAGGAGGAGAACAACCTAGTCCACACGATCGGTTTTCCCCCTCCAATTGAGGAACAACCGGTATAGTACCGTTCCCCCTCCTCCCCAAGAACATCATTAAAAAGCCACGGCCGATGAGCCACATTCTTGTGTCCTACACGCCATTGAAGTCCCACGCCACCTCCTCCCTCCTCCTCCTCCTCCTCCTCCTCCTCCTCCTCCTCCCCCTCCCTTCCTCTTTCTCTCCGTCAATGGCTATCATCCTCCCACCCAAGGCCCTCTGCCTCCTCCCTCTCCTCTTCCTCTCCGCCCACTCGCAGTTCCTCCCCTTCCGGGGCAGCTTCCTCGACCGGCTCTTCGGCCTCGAGAAGCCGGTTGGCGGGTCCGGGCCGAGGGACGTGCTCGAGGGTAACGACGGTGGGGTCGCGGGCGACGAGGGGGACTGGACGGAGGCGGTCGATGCCGACCCGGGATTCAGGTTCGCGCTCTTCGGCAGCGGCACGACGGAGGCCGCGGAGGAGGGCGAGTTCGAGGGGAAATGGGAGGTCGTGTCCCAGAACTCCGGCGTCTCGGCCATGCACATGCAGCTGCTGCCGAACAACAAGGCCCTGATCTTCGACTCGACGGTGTTCGGGCCGTCCAAGATCCGCTTGGCCAAGAACACGCGCTGCCCCGTGAGGCCCAAGGCTAAGGGACCCGATTGCTGGGCTCATGCCGACATCTACGACATCAAGACCGGGGCGCTCCGGCCACTCAACGTACTCTCTCTCTCTCTCTCTCTACAAATCAAGTGGTTTCGGGATCATCCAACTATTATAAGACCCTCAAATTAAAATACGAGGCGCATATGATTACCTAATTCAATAATCTAAAATTTTTCATTTTGCAAAATTTTCCTCTCCATGAAGATTATGTCTGAAATTCTGAATTGAGCATCTAATTATAGTCGCATAAACCATTTATAATCACAATTTGCATGCATGCCCATGCAAAGATAATTGACTTTATATAATGCCTCTAGTTAATGGCATATTATCGTGTTAGTCATCCATGATATTGCTTGGTACTTGAAGTAATTTTTTTAAAAAAAATTTGTGTATTATAATATATAAAATGTATAATTCCATTATATATATATATATATATATATATATATATATATATATATGGGAGAGTGCTATTTTTTTAGAAAGGCCGCCGACAACTTTTTCATGCAAACATAGAAGAGGTCATTTCAGTTCTATTCGTCAGTCAATCTTAACTAGGTTCATTATTACGCTTAAAGTACAAACAATAATCAAAGCCCTAATCCTTACATGACACATTGGTTTTGGTTTGGATACAACATTAGAGCACAATTTACTCCTAACATGATGTACGCGGGCATGCAATTAAGGAAGTAGTAATCATGATTATTCCAACATCGTATCTGATTTGAACTTGATCCAAAGCAGTTGGACCCCAAGAGAAACTTCCATCGAGTGGCTTTGATGAAATTGCTTTTGAAAGATTGTATGTAACTGTTCAAATTTTTTCTCATCTATTGTTTTCTCAATAAATTTTGTTTCCTTGATCTATGGATAGATAATTACGGACCCGTGGTGCTCTTCCGGCGGGCTCGGAGCCGACGGAAACTTCGTGAGCACCGGAGGTTTTGACGCCGGCAGCAAATCGGTTCGGTTTCTCGGCCTATGTGACCACTGTGATTGGCAAGACACCCCCAATGTTCTTGGCAACGGAAGATGGTAAGATAATCATGGGAATTCATATTCCCAATTATGCGAATGAAAATTTTACTATATGCGTAGATCAAATCTTTTGATGATAAGGACAATAGGGTCATCTTTCTTGTATTTACCTTGCAAAGGAGATTATAAGTAAATTATTTCTTAGTCTTACAGCGATAAACTAAACTTAAATCTCACATGTATTCATCGATAGTATTTAGGTATTAAGCAAGGGAAAAATTGCCATTACAACGTATTTATACTAAGTAGTTAACCATTAATGTATTAATTCAAACTTATTTCTTCCCACATCATTTATGGTTAATTCTCAATTAATCATGACTTTTAGTAAATCTCTCCTAATCACCACCAAAAATTATTCCGTGCAATGTGGACTCATTGACGATATTTTGTAAGTTATGATTAACCTAATTTATGATCAACAATTAATAGGTACTCAACTCAGACCAAGCTCGACGACGGGGCCTTCGTTGTCATGGGCGGCCGCCGCTCCTACAGCTACGAGTTCGTCACGGTCGACAACCGGATCTCCGCCAAGACGACCTTCTTCCCCTTCCTCGACGAGACGACCGACCTCGACGAGAACAACCTCTACCCCTTCGTCAACCTCCTCCCCGACGGCAACATCTTCGTCTTCGCAAACAGCCGCTCCATCATCCTCGACCCCCGCAACAACAAGGTCATTCGCGAGCTCCCCCGCCTCATTGGCGGGTCCCGCAACTACCCAGCCTCGGGGATGTCCGCGCTCCTCCCCATGAAGCTCAAGAACAAGATGGACGCGAGGCAGGTCAAGGCGGAGGTCATCGTGTGCGGCGGCGCGAAGCCGTCGGCGTACCGGGCGGTAGAGAAGAACCAAACGTTCATGCCAGCGCTCCGGGACTGCGCCCGGATCGTGGTGACCAACCCAAACGCGCAGTGGAAGAAGGAGGCGATGCCGTCGCGGAGGGTCATGGGGGATATGCTCATCCTGCCTACCGGAGATCTCCTCTTGCTTAATGGAGCTACCAAAGGTACACATACGCACGTACATATTGACTTTTATGAGGCAAAATTGTCATAAAAATTATGTCTTTGTTATTTTGAATTTGATATTACATCATTAAGATTTCATGTTTAAATTATGAAGTGTTCATGCTTAGTCCCATTGCTGTCCTTCCATTTCTAATAGTCTCCGTTGATTTCTATCAAACAGGCACATCTGCGTGGAACTTCGCGGCCGACCCGAACTATGTCCCGGTCCTCTACTCGCCCGAGAAGCCTGCCGGTGAGCGTTTCCGGGAGCTGAAGGCCGCCACCATCCCCCGCATGTACCACGCCACCTCCATGGTCCTCCCCGACGGCAAGATCCTCGTCGGAGGCAGCAACACCAACCCGACCTACCTCTTCACCGACGTCCAGTACCCGACCGAGATGCGCATGGAGAAGTTCTCTCCCCCCTACCTCGACCCGGCCCTCCAGCAGTACCGCCCCAAGATCGTCGCTGAACTCACCGACAAGAAGATGAAGTATAACAAGAGCTTCTACGTCAAATTCAGGGTCGCCTCCGACGGCCAGAAGGTGAGCAAGAGGGACGTGAAGGTGACCATGTACGAGCCGCCCTTCACGACGCACGGGTATTCCATGAACCAGAGGCTTTTGGAGCTCGCCAACACCAAGCTGAGGAAGGAGGGCGACATCTACCACCTCGATACCAAGTCGCCCCCGTCCGGGACGATCGCGCCGCCGGGTTATTACTTGATATTCGTGGTGTACAAGGGCGTCCCAAGCGTGGGAGCGTGGGTTCAAATCCAGTAAGAAAGATGTAGGTTTTGGAGATCGGCCTTGCATGGGTCGATTCCTTATGTGTTCCTATGCCTAAATTGGGTACAGGTCGCATATGTATTGTGCTCTGGGTGTAATCTGGGGAGTGCCAGACGAATGATCACCATGGAAAGGCAATGTTTATCTCGAAATTGATGTTCTCCTAGTTTAGTACCCAGTGCCCAATCATACAGAATTTTTTTCCCATGCCGAAAAATTTCGATAAATATCAGTAAGTGTCAAACACCCGTTGATAATTAAAATGACGGGTAACGTTTTTCTAGGTAATTTGTTGATAATTTACCAATGCTTTCATGAAATTACCAATTCTTTTTTACAGTTTTCGCGAATTCCAAACTTTTTGTACTAATTTTTCCAACTTAATTGCATAGCTTACTTGACCTTCGAATATACTAATTTTTAATATGAAATTACCAACCTAAACTATAATGAATTATCAACTTTAGTCGAATTAAATTACACACTAGTTTTAGCTTACCAACTTGCACTTGTGGCTCAAGCACAAGACATATATGGTTTACACCGCTTAAACAAGAACAATCCTTTTTGAGTCAATCACTTGAGTTTTGGCTTGTGTGTAAAATATTCATTGGGGTGTACTTGTGCCGGCCGGGTCCCGGAGGTCGAACCTTATGTATTATCCGACCCTGAGTTACATAGAAATACGAGGGTCGGGCCAAATTCGGGCCAAATATAGTCGGGCCGAGATTTCTCGTGTAACGATGTCGCCCGAAGCTCGTTCATTATGCCTATCCGGGCCTCGGCGGGCTTCCCACCCATTGATCACCAGTTGCTATGGTAGTCCATAGATCCAATGTTCACACACAAGGCGAACTTCGTCATCATCAAGAGGGAAAAAAAGAAAGAAGAAAGAAAGCCGAGCAAGGTCTCGGTTTCGATTCAATCTCAAACCCACTATGACGATGCTTAGGTCATCGAAGGAACCAGTCATTGAAAAATTACCAATTCTCTGTATAGAGATGGTCCGTTTTCGATCGAAACGTAAAGATGAACTTAGTTCAGTACAAATAAATTAGCTTGAAGAGCCAATATAAATTACAATCTGCATTATAAACTCGTTAGTCTAAATCTCAATTGAAGTGTGCACGTCTACGAAGATGTTAGCTTAAGGTTTGTCAATTCATCACATCACAACTGGCAATTCCTTCCCCTTTGCATTATTAGTCTCAGGCACGACGCACTCGTCCCTCCTCCTCCTACGTCCCCAGCTGGGTCGCCCCCAAGATCTGGTCATCACAAAATTTAATTTTTCCCCCCCTCATTGAATTGCGAAATAATTTAATGGAAAAATTAAATTGGAAACAAACACAGTTTGAATGCTTCATGTCCATTCAGTTTCGTTGCTGGAGTGAATTTTGCCATAGCTATTCCTGTTTATGTAACACCAAAGAGTTTGGATGTGTGGTCCGGATGCGGCAGATTTCGTGTTCGAATCGCAATGAATCCAATTCGAGGTAACCTTCACCGTAGTCGAGGTGACAAAGGTGAGGATGGAACATGCTTTCTCAAACGTTACTGCTCAATTAGGATTAAGATTTCATCCTTACTTTGTAGCTTAAAATTGTTAATTATTGTAAGGGGAGCTGAACAGGAGGACAACATGAGTAGTCCTAGAAAGGGTCAGAATCCAGAGCCCCTGACAGGACCAACACATTCTAGGACAACATGTAAAATATTCATCAGAGGAAGTTCTTTCCTGGAAAGGTCATAAGTTCTAGTTCCTAGTTATTTAAAGGCCTCAGAACCAAGGCAAAGAAGACAATCCACCTCACAACACCATCACAAGAGTTTTGATACATCTTGAGAAAGAAGCAGAGAGAAGAAAGATGGCAAGGCTTCCTGTTTTATTGATCACTCTCTTCTTCTCCGCCGCCTTCGTGGGTCGATGCCGGGTCGAGGCCGCGTTCTGGGACACCTCGTACTTCACTTGGGGCGCTCGGCAGTCCTCGGTTTTCAACAACGGCAACGATGTTCAACTCGTGTTGGACAAGATTTCTGGTATTAAAGTTTCTGATTTCAACAAATCATTCGTGTCATAACCTGTATACTCAATGTGCTAATCAGTTACACAGTTCGAAAACGCTGATTTAATGTCTAGCGGATCGAATTAGCATTGCAAGAAGCGCTTCAAGATCAAGGGGACATTGATGTTGACCAGAGAAATGTACATGGCAGTCATTACAAGCTGAATGGACAGATATTTTTTAAGTTGCTGGGTTTAGGATCTGACCAGAATACCAGTATAACACTAATCAAAGCCGGCGGTCTTATTATAAATGAATTTCAATGTGCGGAGCTGATTATAGTTTATCCTCTTAGCGGAATATTGGTGTTGGATTTGCAGGCTCGGCCTTTCAGACCAAGAGCGCGTACCTGTTTGGAAGCATCGAAATGCTGATCAAGTTGGTCCCTGGAAATTCTGCTGGGACAGTCACTGCATACTATGTAAGATCAAACCAAACTTTATCTGTGCAGAAAAGCCCCTAAACTTACAAATGTTAAGGATTCGATCGCGTTTATGCACATATTTTATGCAGCTATCTTCCACGGGGTCGAAGCACGATGAGATCGACTTCGAGTTCCTGGGCAACGTTTCTGGACAACCTTACATCATCCACACAAACATTTTCGCTCAAGGAGTCGGTAACAGAGAACAGCAGTTCTACCCGTGGTTCGACCCCTCGGACAGTTTCCACAACTACACCATTTTCTGGAACCCCACCGAAGTTGTGTAAGTTCCAAGTCACACGTAGCGCTCGCCAATCTCTTAATTTCGATATAGATTTGATCTTCTAACTACAACAAGGGATCCACAAAAAGCTAGGGTTATGCTAAATTGGTTGGTTCATTCCACATGGCCTAAATAGATGCATGTGTCAGTTTAAAAAGCAAGAACTGTATGTTCGATCGCATTCGGAAAAAGTGCGATTGACGGTTTAAGTGGTTCCATCGAAAATGGTTCGAACTTTGTAAACTTTTTCGCGACTACTTAACGACACAATAGCGCTCATATTGCGATTTCGTGTTGAGAGCAGGTGGTACGTCGACAGCATACCCATCCGAGTGTTCAGGAACTACCAGAGCCAGGGGGTCGGGTACCCGAACGAGCAAGGCATGAAGGTGTACGCAAGCCTCTGGAACGCGGACAACTGGGCCACGAGGGGCGGGCTCGTGAAGACCGACTGGCGGTACGCCCCCTTCGTGGCCCAGTTCCGCAACTTCCAGTCTAGGGCCTGCAATTGGTACGGGACCAGCAGCATCTGGCAGTGCGCGGCCAAGACGCCGGCGAACTGGTACACTTCGCCGGCCTACAGCCAGCTCAGCAACGCCCAGCTGGGGCAGATGAAGTGGGTGAGGAACAACTACATGATCTATGACTATTGCCAGGACACCAAGAGGTTCAACTTGAACATGCCTCCTGAGTGCTCCAAGCCCCAGTATTGATTTGATGTAGCAGCATTGCCACGGAGAAATTGTTGTTCTTTGCAAGAGTGATCTATTTTGTATGTTCAATTTGTTTTCCATTGGTTCGACAGTAAACCCATTTGATGTCTACTTGTATGGATCATATATCACTTGATTAATGTTTTACTTGGCGAATGGACCGTATCGCTCGAATCTTCTTCTCTTTTCTTCTCTCTTTTCTTTCTCATTGTTTTCGACGTATCAACTTTCAAAAAAAAGTGACAATATGATTAGTGAGACAGACGATTACACGAATCTTCATGAACCTTCTAATCTCAATTGAGACAGTAGGCTCGTTCGGACTCGTCTTCCTACTGTCTAACTTCGAAACTTCCCATTCAACATCTAAATCTTGGTATTTGAAAATTCGCCTTTGAATTTCTCACAATTTGTTTTGTCTCGTTTTCTCGTTTTCATACTTCAAAAGGAAAAACTCAACCCCTCTTGATGAGCAGACGTGACAAAATTTGTTTTTCTTTTTTTTGTTTTCCAAACTTTCCAAAAATGACAAAAAGTCTAATTTGGACTGCGAGGAAATTAATTTTAATCGAAAGAAATCAAATAAAATAAAATAAATCGAATAAGCCACGCCAAAAGAAATTCCTGTCGTCCGTTGCCACGCTTCCTTTGCTTCTTCCTGCGTGTGGTCTGAAGTTTCTCAGTCAAAAAACAAGAACTCCCCTCAAGAAAGTCACTCTCTCTCTCTCTCTCTGTCTCCATCCTCTCTTCTTGATTCTCCATCTCGTTCGCACCCATCTGTCTCTGCCTCTCTCCGAACCGAATCGGAAGCTTGGAACGTGATCAAAAGAGCATCTTGGAGAAGCCCAGAAGCTCGGCCAGCCCCCCGATGGAGCGCGTCGTTGGCGGCAAGTACAAGCTCGGCCGCAAGATCGGCAGCGGGTCCTTCGGCGAAATCTTCCTCGGTAACAGTCCCGCGCGCTCGAGCTCGATCGTGGGCCGCGCGTCCCTTCCGCCGTGCGACTGTTTCAGCTTTAGTGTCCGGTCGGGACGCGGCGGCGGCGTGGCTTCCCGAGAGCCTCGTTAATTCGACTGACCCTTGTGAATTTTCCTCGTGTTTTTCTTTGCAGCTACGCACGTCGATACGTTTGAGATGGTCGCGATAAAGATCGTAAGTTCTCGGGCTGAATCAGCTTTCTGGGTCGTTTCGTTTGAGTTCGGACGGGGCGTGATCCGATGGCGAGCTTGGAGTGTTCCACGTTCGATTTTTGTGGAATTTGCCTCTTCTTTTCAGCCCGTGTAGCGTCGGATGAATTTCCATCGAGAATTCCATCCGTTTCAGCTGAATTTCGCTAGTCATGAGCTGACTGTGTATTGAGGGACTTTCATGTGGGCAGTGAACGAGTAACATTCTTCTGTATCCTTATTTTGCAGGAGAATAATCGGACCAAGCATCCGCAGCTTCTTTATGAAGCAAAATTGTACAACATTCTTCAAGGAGGGAGTATGTAGCATAGTACATGTGCAGCTCGTGGATTTGAGGCCTCGCATGATTAGCTACTTATCTGCTCGTTTTTTTTTCCTTTATTTCAGGTGGTCTTCCCAGCATAAAATGGTCCGGCGTAGATGGAGAGGATAATGTACTCGTTCTTGAGCTTCTTGGACCAAGTCTTGAAGATTTATTCGTATACTGTGGGAGGAAGTTTTCTTTGAAAACAGTCTTGATGCTTGCAGATCAAATGGTAAATGGATATTGTGATTAGCAAGGATTGCAATCCTCATTTTCTTTGAATCATCAAGCAGCTGCAGGTTTGCTTTTGAAAGTGACATATATGGTTGCACCTTTCTCTTCTGCAGATAACAAGGATAGAGTACGTGCACTCAAGAGGATTTCTGCACAGAGACATTAAACCCGATAACTTTCTGATGGGTCTGGGTAGAAAAGCAAATCAGGTGATGAATGTGTTGCTTTACATGATGCCTGCCACCAGCAGCTAGTTGTCGTGTTTAAAACCTTTGATCATTCTGGTCCTATATCCTTCTTACCAGGTTTATATTATTGACTTTGGGCTTGCAAAGAGATATCGGGACTCCACAACTAATCGCCATATCCCATACAGGTTTTCCATTAGTTTATTTCGGTGAATTTTACTTTAGATTGAATACGTCAGGTTTAAGATCTCACATGACGCTATATAATCTTTTTTTACTATGTCGGTGGTTCACCAAAATCTGTCTGAGGTACTTTCTCATGGATATATCGAAGGAGAATTAATTTCTGGAGAATTATTTATTTTTGAAGAGAGCATTAGTTCTTGTTGCGAACTAAAATTTATTTTTATGTTCAGGGAAAACAAAAATTTAACTGGCACTGCACGTTACGCAAGTTGCAATACTCATCTTGGGATTGGTAAGCTGGATCATGTCATTTTGCTTTTCCTTTTGCAAGTGCATGTCCAGTGACATGGGCAACCAGTGTTAACTAGTTTTATTTTCAGAACAAAGCCGAAGAGATGATTTGGAGTCACTTGGCTATGTACTTCTGTATTTCCTCAGGGGAAGGTATATGTTATTTGTGAGGCATTATGAGTCATCTTTTGGCATGAAGTTACTATCCCAAGAGTATTGATTATAGACATTACAACTAGAGGACATGACCTAAAATCTTTTTTTTTCCCAGAATTTTTGTTGCATTTCATGTGTACTAAACTAATATAATGATATCTCAATTCACAGCCTTCCTTGGCAGGGACTGAAAGCAGCTACAAAGAAACAAAAGTATGATAAGATTTGTGAGAAGAAGTTATCAACTCCTATTGAGGTGTGTCAAATGATGTGTGTGCCTATGCCTTTGCTTGCTACAGTTCGGTTTGCTCTAACTTGAGTTGGCTCTCTTTTTTGAAGGTTCTTTGCAAATCTCATCCTGTAGAGTTTGCTTCATATTTTCATTACTGCCATTCCTTGACGTTTGATCAACGACCAGATTATGGATTTTTGAAGCGTCTATTTCGTGAACTATTTACTCGTGAAGGTATTGTATACTCAATCGGGACAGTCAATTTCAAAATGCAAAGCAATCACAATTCCTGGCACGCTAGCAGTGCTGTGTATCACTTATTTTCTTAATTCTTTGATATTCTGTATGCCAAAGCACATGCTCTACTTTTCATTTAATGACCTTATCAATTAGGTATCTACTTATATGTCAAGTGCCTTATAGTTGCACCATATTTAAACAATTTGGCTCAACTTTTACTCTTCTGATCTCTCCCAGCTTTCCCCTGTTTTATTTGTCAGAAATTAGATGTGGTCTGACAGGCAATGGGATGATCCTTTCTCTTAAGCAGTTAGGGAGATTTAGAAAACAGTATGTAGGATTAATTTTTGTCGAGGGCAAACCAGGAGGAAAGTGTGAATATTATATGCTGTCTTGAAACTGTATTATGTAAAAGTACTTCATGTAACGGAATGTCAACCTGAAGGTATAAAATGATAATGAAATCTCTAGAAATTATAGATAAGGGATTTCCTCTTTATCCTCTCTTGGATAATTGAATGTATCACTTTGGCATCACTATTCATATGGGAGGCAGGATAAGTTCTTCCTATATATTTAACTTCAACACATGATAAATTCGTTGAAATGCGGCATGTAACTTTTAACAATGTGTGTTACAGGATATCAATTTGATTATGTATATGATTGGACGATCCTGAAATACCAACAAGCACAAAAGAGCAAAACTCAGCCTCGATTTTCTGTGGGTAATCTTGACTTTAAATTACTTTATGAGGAGTTTCTGTAACATAAGTGCTTTTCAGTATGATCATTTGGCATCACTCCAATTGCTTCAATTGCATCATCGTTTTCATTATTACATTAGTTATTTAGCACACTACTAGCTGTGGTCTGATAATTCCTTCCTTTTCTCTATTATGCTGATAAATGGGTATGGAATATTGTTTGTTACAGCCAGCTCTTGATGAGAGCAGCAGACGTGCAATGCCAATGGATGTCGACCGCCTTCAAGGTCGGTTAGTGCTCATGTATTTGTCTGTTGCTGATGTTTAGTGGGTGATAGTTGATTGGATCCTGAGAGTCATTGCTTCGTTATGATTATTTGCAGTCATTATTTTATGAGACCTTCATCAAAAGCACTGGATGAACATCGAAAGGGAAAATTGTTTCCCATCTTCATACTTCAACTATTTAGGGTTATTTTGCATGTTATGCTTTTCAACAAAGAAAACTGGATACTGTATGTTAAGTTTTGAAGAACTTTGCCAGTTTAGGATAATCTTTAGTGATCTCCGTACATCTTCCTGCTACTTGTATACACTTAAAAGACTATCCATTAGACAGTAAAAGTGGTCAGCTCTTGAAATTCCTTCTGGAGTTAAGAGGACCCTTAAAGGCTTAAACGCTTTAATGTTGTTATACTAGTTTTCTAGGACACAAGAAGTGATGAAAAGGATGAATGAGAAGTTTGAAAAGAAAGAGAAGAATATTATTTATTGAGAGATGTTAATTGACTATCTTGCTCTTAAAATTTCCGTATTTGTTTGATGACAGGTGGCACAAATGCTGCTCATGCAAGTGAGGTGGCAGAGCCTGGTGGATCGAGCAATACTGCCGCTACTGTCACTTACCCACAACATCCATCTGCAATGGACAAGAATCTGAGTTCTGGCCGTGCTGTCAACAAGAATGTGAGTATTAGCGTATTTCCTGACCAGCATTTACTCTGGAAAAAAAGGGATAGAGAATTTACATTAGTCTATCAAATTGATTTTCGGATAAAGGGCGTATGAGAACATCGGATGCAGGTTTTAATTTACTACACAGTTGAATAATTCTAATGATCTATGTAACATTTTCGTGCCATTTTGCCAAGGCTCCTGTTTGTTATTTCATCATTTATAAGTCTGTTCACGCATGCCACCGACCAGTCATAAAAGCAATTATATTCAACTTTTGTAGATTGTGAGCAATGTGAACATGCCATCTACTTCATTTTCTCTAACTGGAGTCTCAAAAAAGAATATTCCAAAGTCCCAACTGCCGACGGACAATGCAAACCCCACTCATGGCCATGGCAACAAAAATAGACCTTCTAGTAGCTGGATCCCATCATTCCAGAGAATTTCTTCTGCAAAATAGTTGATGCGGTAAGATTTGTACCTTTTTCTTTAGGATTGAATTATCTTGTTTCTCATCTTATTGTATCATGTTTTCCCTCAAGTTAATAGAGTATTTTCCACCACGTTTACCTTTCCATATAGAGAAGTCAGCGATCTTTTACTTTGTTTGTAAACATTATCTGTGTTGGTTGGCATCAATGTGATTTCCATCAGATGTGACGTTATTTAAGTTGGATTGTCTAATACGGGAATTTGATTTTTACCAACTATGACTTACTGACAGATACTCAAACTGATGTTTTGAGCAGAGTGTTTGATTAAGGGATCTCTTTGGCAATCTATGTGCGCACAAATATAAGAACTTGGTTTGTCAGACACTCTTGATGCATCTATGCAAGCTGCTCCTTATGCGAGGCCTGCTCTGGGTAACTGTTTCGTGATGAACGGCTTGAGGTCCGGATGCTGCACATTTGCTGTTGAGTTGGCAGATTGCGTTGTTTTCTCTATATGAGCCTGGTGGCATTGTTGGTGTTCAAGGTGACTATAATTGATTGTTGGTCAAGAGTAATAGTGTACAGAGGTTGTGTTTTGTTCTTTGTACATAGTTATTGCATGTTTCACGGTTCTATATACATTTTCGTTGCAACTTGATTGCAATCCGACTTGTCGCCAAATTATTTCAAAATCTGGTTTTATTAATAAGAGAAAAGTACTTCTTTGCCCTTTTCTGCTTCTCCTTGTGCAATCTGACAATGTTGATTGTGACTTTGCCTCGACTTTGCCGTGCCAGTTATTCTGCTATAATCAGGAAGGGACCCTCGAGAACTCTCCTGGAGCTTGTGCTTTTAAGATTTAATGATCACCTTGGCAATTCATCGATCACCGGGCACCTATCTTCATTTAAGATTTGCAGCTTCTCTCACGTTGGTTATTAACAATTCCTGCAAATTTGAAGTTTCGTTCGGTGATATCTAGGCAGCGAAGATTGCATGTGCTTTAGAATTTCTCGTGTGTGATGTGAAAATCCATGCCCCATTCATATATCTACATTTTTGGCACATCTTGCTTGAAAATAATGGAGGCAGGGTGATAATTATGTGATGGAATAGGGTCTAACGATTGGTCAATCATCAAATTCGCGGTTTTGTCATTGCAGGGACTCTGTTCATCTTCCACTGAGAGGAAATATATGATGCCTGAAGGCATAGGCCTCTGCAATTTGCCTCCCGAGTTGCGCTCATCCGCTATGATTTCACAAATCATCAACTGCTACACGGCCTCGCACTTACTTATGCTGGACAAGGACCGTCCTTTGCCTACGATATGTAATTGGCCCAATTGGAAGATCATCCTTCAAGCTGTTATATAACTGCTACTCTAAGTTGAATGGGTTAAGTGCTAAAATTGCAACGCTTCCAAGTAAAAGAGCAAGGTATGACAGCGGAGGTTGAGTGCTCAGGGCTGGGAATTCCTCAACCTAGTCGAGAGAGCGAAGTTACAGATTGACAATCGCGCACATTACACAGTAGCAGTACGGCATTAAGCTCATCTCCATCTTCCGAACCTAACATTTTACCAGTCCTGCCAAACTGGGGTATGTCTGTTTCTTCAACGTTCAAAATCTAACGAACCAACCCGAATATCAGATACGGTAATGTTTAATCTCCCATCGAGGCGGAGGGAGAGAGAGGGAGTTCTGACCTAACGGATATCGCTAGCCCGAGTATATGATGAGGCAAGAAATTTCTCGTGAGACCACGTGAATGGGAAGAACGTAAAAATATTGCCGCACAAGAAACAGTTTGGACATTTCTCTTTTCCATTAGGCTAAGTGCATGTTCTCATAAATAGGGTTGGGCCATCACCAATGAGGCCTAATGCAAACCATTAACAGATTCGAAACCACAATTTGCATGGCAACTCGGAGATCCCCTCGCCGCTCTCTTGTTCTTAGGCATTTACTTACATCGCCGGTTATCCCGGACAGAGGTTGTATCGAGGCGATGCTGTATGCCAGAACCGCCTTGTGCACATCCAATGTCTGTCCCTTTCAAAAACATCTTCCCCATGAGATGGACTTTGCCGCGAGTACCAAACTTCAGTGCAAAATTGCAGCTTTCCCCGTTCAGTTATTTCCGGAATGCCAATACTGGTCTATTGAATCCGGCATTGGTCCCTGACAAACCGGAGGTAAGGTCCTCTACCGTCCTAAAGCCTATCTGCAAAAGCACCGATAGTCAGCTACACATCATGGATATATTTTTCGACCAAAATAAAAAAAATCATGGATATATTTGATTAGAAACAACAAAAGTGATGCTGTTTGGTTATAAATACGGAAACAAGGACTTGACCTAACCTTATCAAGAAGTATGTCCTGAAAATCCTCCGGTGGATACATGATCTTGTCATAATTCGCGGCTGTTGTCTGCAGAAACAGTAAAAGAAAAAGCAAAAAATCGAGCCTTAGCATATCCGCAAGCACTGATAGGAACGATATCAATCGAACTAGGTTCAAAAGCTACGGCATACACATCAGTTTCCACTAAATAAAAAGCAAAACTGGAATCAAGTACTTTAGAGGCAGTTTCCAGATCCACCGAACTCATCATCATACCTCGGACACCAGACGATTTTTTTCATATGAACGCCAAGGTTGAGGCTCCAAGATAAAAATGCCACCCTGCTCACAGGAGATGCAGTAGCACAAGTTTCAGCAGTTACCCCAAAATATGTGAGATAGACAAAGGTTACGAAAAAATCATTGTTTGCGCAGACAAGGCTAGTCACATACTTGTAATCTATAGGTTTAGATGGGATGGACTCCTCTAGTGTCATCTATGCTTAACCTTCCTTTTCTCTATATCCCATGGCTTACATTTAGTAATACGGCAAATATAGGCTAGTATGAAAAGTTAAAATTCCATATTAAGCGATTACAGAAACTATTGCCCAAGAAAACATTAGAAAATGGAAGTTTCTTCCATGAAATCCATAAAATCGCTTCTTATTATCAATTCAAGATCTCTCTATGCACTAATCCATGAAGCACATAACAGTACACTAGGATGATCTACCACTATGCTGGGCAACCAATGCAAAATGATTGAAATCTTAAAAGTGAACTGCATATGGATGTCCCATGACTTCAAGCGACAAACGGAATCGCTGTAAGGAGGACTAGTAAAAGGAATCTAGAGAGATTCTGGCTACATACAACGGCACTTCTGAAGCCTAGAAGGAAAGGCAAGTCATGACACAGCCAGTAAAGAGATCGAGATAAGAAATCATCTCACAGAAGGTGACCAGCAAAGGAAACAGGAAAGGATACAGACTTATCTGGAGACATTTTTCAGTGCAGTTTCCCCAATTTAGTTTTAAGTGCTCATGGAAAAGTCACTGATATTGGAACAGTTGAATGAAAGAGACCAAGGACAGCTCCACTTAAATAGCTCCTCTAAATTTCCAATATAGATTGCAAAGAACCATGCTATATGCATCTTTTGCAGAAAAAATGCATCAATTAAATAAGATATGCAGTCTTTACCTGTCGAAGAAGTTGCCAGACCTTTGAAAACAAAGTAATTAGCCCCTCATCACCCCAATTCAGATGAATCCACTTCGTCACGCTCAAACTGCAGCAAGGAGAGAACATGTCTTCTAGTTAATAACATAAAAGCAAATGAACCCAAAAATGAAAGGTCATGGACATAAAAACCTAACTTCTTTGAAATATTTCAAGTAACTAGATGCACAAAAAGGAATTGTGTTCCATCGGAGGAAGAGTGAGCTATAACTTCATATCAACCGTCTACTATTCTAAGATAAACAATCAACTTTTAGTGCTGGCAAGTAACATGCAGTATTCACAAAAATATGTCCAGCTTTAATTTGGATTTAACTTAGACATATTTCCTCTGAGATGATTCTTTTCAATGGGTTTCACTTATCAAAAAGTTTGACCATGATATAACAACTAATTATTTATTGAAACAAGAATGGAATGGAAAATCAAGCTGTAAACATCAAATTGCAACAAAAGGTTGATCGAGAATGATGAATAAGTATACCTCCATACATGTGATTTAAAATGCATTGCAGACATAATGTTCTAGTACTGTCAAGCATCCATAATTGCCCTTTCTTTAAAACCATTACTTTAAGACTCCGCTGCCCTAATTTTTCTAAATGTGCTCAAACTAAAATATCTCATGTCTTACAATAGCTACCGAAGCGTCACTTACCAAAGAATGGTATCATAACTTTCATGAGCATCAGCCCGAGCTAGAACAAAATTTTCCCGCCGGAAAGACACAATCTCAAAGAGATCTGTCTTCTCTGAAAGAGACTGGTTCTTTGTACTTTTCCTTGTTTCCCCATCTTTTGACATGCTAAGGTCTTGGGCATCATCAACTGGTCTCTCTTCAGCCCCTGATTGCAAAGTCTTTGAATGGCTCTTACCAGCAGATTGCATTCTTACAGTTTTCCTGAGGATCCAATTAGCATCCTCAATTCGGTCTAAAAACAAAGAAATATTAAGCCACCACAAATATAAAATCTCCCATCACAATAAATAAATGTTATCGTTCAAAGACCACCACCGTGATACCCAATTCATTATATGCCAAGCAAGGAGAGCAAATTAGTTTGACACGACTGGGCATATGTCAGGTATGTGTTATTGTATATAGGCCAATTTAATACTGTTAATCCTACAATCTCAACAGTCAACACTCCGACTAACCCCAAATTCTTCATTAGTCAAACTGACCAAAGACAAATGCAACAGCACACCTTTCTTTCTTTTTTTCCTGCTAAGTACCAATTTATTAAGGAAAAGAAACGATACACCTAAGTTACACGTAAAAATGGAAATGTACACAGCCCTTTCAACTATTCTATTTGCAAATTGACTTTCTATCTTGAAATAGGATATGCATCATAAGGAGGAATATTAAAAAAATTTAGAGGGAAGCTACACAACCCTTTCAACTATTCTATTAGCAAATTGACTTTCTATTTTTTAACTAGGATATGCATCATAAGGAGGAATATTTAAGATATCTAGAGGGAAGCATAAGACAGCTGGGGATCTGACGAGCAAAATGAACCTCTACTATCAGAAACAGGTGATAGTTGACAGTATATGCAAACATTAAGCCTATTAATTTCTCACCGAAAAAGAAGGACGTGATCATTCTTTCTTTGTTTATAGGAAAATTCATTCAGTCGGACTTTATAACAATCTAACTCCTCCTCTCAAGCATGAAAAGCTTACTAATCCCAGTTACAATAAAAACCTAAGATATTCGACCAAAGAAAATGACCCGAGGATCTCACCCTCCTCAACTTATATTTTGCCAAACTTCTTAGCTCACCCCACTAAAGGTAAGACTCTACGTCCAGCAATCAATTATGGGGTATGCTATATGGTAATCCAATCACAATCTAATAAATATATTGGGTCCTGGCACTTGCTTAGGGGGTCAAGCACAGGTTTGATATGCTTCTTAATTTACAATTGGCTGAGATCACTTCACATATTAAGGTTTATATCATCCATCATCAAGAGGCATCATCACCAGACCTTATTATCATTAACAAGCCAATCATATTCCTTGCCACCATCCTCTTAATATGGAATCTGTTAACTGTAGCACATGTGAATTGAAAAATGTATGTTCTCCCTACAAAAGAAGAATCTTGTCACCTATATGATACTAATTCCATCCTACATAAAGAGCATGTAGATAAACCAAAAATGACGATTGACCAGCTGTTCAACTAGTCAGACACGCTTCTATCACCAAAAGGGAGAGAGGAAAACTGTCAACAAAGCCAGATATAAGGATCATTTTGCGAGAGTTGAAAAATCAGATTGCTTGCCAAGATACTTCTCAAGACGGACAAAAGGCAATCATATATTTAGAGTGTGGAAATGCTACAATAGAACTTCAACTATTTAACAAATCTTAATGATATGCTGTTAACTTGATATGAGAATGATAAGCTGTTAACTTGATATGAGCTAAGTGACTATTCCCAGCATTGTCAAATGAGTGCAAGAAAATATTTCTGTTGTCTTTGCATGTATAATATATTGTTGTGTTAATTGCTCCAAACAAAAAAAAAAACCTAGGCTTTTAGATATTGTCACTGTAATTTAATAAAAAAAGAGAATAAAAGAGAAGTCCATATTCAAATATACGAAAAACTCTGACCAAAAAATAATTCATGTAAACCTCCTCGAGGAAGGACTTGAAATTCATAGAATCTTACTTGAGTCGATGTCAATTCCCAAAATGCTCTGGCAGCAAAACTTTTTTGCTGAAGACAGAAAAAGATTATGTTATAACAAGGGCAAAAATTAGATCCATAACTCAGAGATCATACAATGTAGACAAATATGACAACTTGTAAACAGCATCAAGCAAAAAACCACAGGTAGTGGCAACAAGTGCACGCAAAATACTGAATTCCGCTTCCCCCCAAACTACCAGGCTATGTAGGACCAGTTAAAAGAAATAAACAAAGAAAGAGAGGAGAAATTATCATAATCTAAACTGCAGAAGAAGTCTCAAGATATTAGTGAGGTAAATGATCAATGCATAAAAATGCCAATTTGCTCATTCTTAGTCATATTCGCAGTTCTTTTGTTAAAGTCACTTTACCAGTGGATTTTCCCACCGTCCTAAAGAAGAACATCTAAGCTCCTGAACGGAAAGACTGGCCAAGGAACCTTGCTCTATTGGTTGCTTTTAGATGAAATTTCTCCCTACCACAACCAAAACAAGTAATAAATCTTATAGTTCCGATATGATATCATCGAGCACTTGCAAGTGTGTTGCATTTGGTAAGCATTAGAAAGTTCTCCAAGAAAATAACATGTAATTTCTAAGACAAACCACAGTCTTCACAAAACAAGTATTGGAAGGATTGAAGGGGGATATCAAATCCTAAATGGAGTTATCTCCCTTCAAAAATTACGCAAGATATTTTTGAGGGACTAGAGACCTAGTATCTGCTAACAAGAACAGGTCCAGACAGCACATGTGGCCACCAAGCAAACTCACTTAGCCTACAGAATCCACCATTCACTGGGTTTTTGCAAGCCCTGGAGCTGAAGCGAGTGAACGCCACACCAAATACGAACAGTCATTGGAAAAGCTAACAATCTCAATATATGGACATCTAAGGCAAGAATCATCAGAAACAGAGCATGGACGAATAAAGCAAGCAACTTTAAGCTGCCGGGACTGAGAGAGGCAACACGGTGAAAAACCCATGAACCCCCATGAGGACTAAAGGGTGAACAACCCCACTCACCAACGTGGATAGTGACAAGCCCATTGTTGCAGCCGATGTCGAGACAATCCTTGCCTTCGAACCACTCCTCCTTCAACACTTTCAACCGCGGATCTTCATCCAATTCCTCACTTACCTGCGGCACGAAGGAAAAAAAAACAACAAAAAATCACCAAAGCGTTAGAGAATTAGGCGAACGTGAAAACCACGGCGGATGCCATGCCGCATAAGAGGAAGCGGCGTTAGAGAATTTTACGCGATAGCCGTAGTAGTGTCTGTAGTTGCCGAAGGGAGCGAAATCCTGGCGGTTCCGCCTCTTCGGTCTGTTCTTCGCCGCCTGCCGCCGCTCCTCCTCCTCCGCGATACCTCCTCCTTCCATCTTGTTCGCTCCCGACCGCTTCCTCCGAGCGAGAGCGAGAGAGAGAGAGAGAGAGAGAGAGAGAGAGAGAGAGCGAATCGGCAATGGCGAACGATCGGGTTTAGGGTTTCTGGCGTGGAGACGGTCCCGGCATAGAGAGACTTCTGCCGCTGCTTGAGCCTTGAGGAGGACGACGGCGCTGAGAAGAAGAAGAAGAAGAAGGCGCCGACGCTTGCGGAACTTGACCGGTCGGAAGCTATATATCGCTTCGCCGGCCTCCCCAAAAAAGAGCCGCCGGTCCGACCCGGTTCGACCGCTGCTGAATCGATCGGAACTCCTCCGTTCCAACATGAAGATTTTATTTTACGAACCTAAGTGAGAAAATTATTGATTCTTGATATGAATGTACTTCTTATGACATAGATTTACCAGTAAACATAACAAATGCGCTCTTATATCATTCTCATGAAGTGTGTACGCCGTGTCGTGTTCGTTTTCGGTTCGTACCGAATTAGTGCCGTCGGAAGAAGTCGATCAGAAATAAATGTTCTCGTTGAGTAAATCGTGCCGTCCTCAATTGAGCCCCGCCTACGCCCACCCGAGCCAACAAGTCCTGAATCGCGTATTGAGCACAACTGGGCAAGCGCCCTGCCTAAATCTAATTATTTTACTAATAAAGTTGGGTTAATACCGATGAAAACCCCAAACTGGTACACGTATGATAAATTTACCCGAAATTAATTTTTTGATCACGAAAAACCCCAAACTGGTACATTTGTGACAAATTGACTCTCCGTTAGTTGCCGTTAAATTTTACCATCAAATTGCTGAGTTGAATAACACGTGCCAATTGCCCGGTATACCAGTTTGAGATTTTACCTTCCTTTTGTTACAGGTGTACCGGTTGTGATTTTTAATGGTATTAATCAAATTTAACGGAAACTAACGGAGGGTAAATTTGTCATAAGCGTATCAGTTTGGGATTTTTTCGTGATCAAAAAATTAATTTGGGATAAATTTATCACAGGTGTACTAGTTTGGATTTTTCCGTGGTATTAACCCTATCAAGTTTAATACCCGGGCTTGATAAAGGACATTTAGGTCCGATCACATATGGTTCTTAATACACTCTTGACTTATAAGAGCCCTAGTCGGAGTATCGAAAAACTACGCCGTTTCGGGCTTGTGAATGCAAATCCCAGTAGAATTAGAGGAACTTGTCTTTTAAAAAGCCCGCTTATGTATATCCCACAGACATCACATTCCAAAAGACACGTCAAGAAACACACTCGCGCACACGAGCATGGAAACAAGCACGGGCTTCGACGGAGAACCGCCGTTTTGCGCGGCGGGTTGCGGCTTCTATGGAGTCCGAGAGCACCGCGGTCTCTGCTCCAAGTGCTACGCCGCTTTCCTGAGAGACCAAGCCGCGAAATCCGCCGCCGAGGCGGCCAAGGGACGGCCCTCGAGCTCGGCTTCCGGGGCTGCCGTTTCTTTAGACGATTGGGCTGCTGCGCTGGGGGAACAGACTCGAGACACTCCAACCCCAACGATGATCAAGAAGAAGAACAGGTGCGCCGCGTGCGACAAGCGCGTCGGTCTACTGGGGTTCGAGTGCCGCTGCGGCGACGTGTTCTGCGGGGCACACCGGTATCCAGAAGAACACGGTTGCGACGTCGATTTCGGGACGGCGGCAAGGCGGAGATTGTCGGAGGAGAATCCTCTTTGCAAGGCCGACAAGATGGAATTTAGGATTTGATAATCTAGGAACTCTTTTCTTGGATCAAAGAGTTGAGTCATGAGAATTCTTGTTCGTTAACAAGTTTTCTATTGATCTTTATGAGAATGTCTGATGAACTCTTTTCATTGTCATGTGTCTTTTACCCATCAAAATCTGGCATTTTGTATGAATATAAGAACTTATGATATGATTCAAGTCCAAATTCTCACTGGTTGATTCATGATGGATGGAATAGTCAAGAATTGATCAGGGTGAGATTCCATTCTCCGTGTTCCTTCCAATGTCGACCACCGGTTGGTAATACTTGTCGAATTGCCGACGTGGCGTTGCCGCTGACGTGGCACCAAATCGACACGTGGTGCTCATATAAAAAGTTTTCATAGTCTTTTCCAAAATTGAAGCATCCATGTTAAAATATAGAATGGGAAAAGTATAAGTCAATGTAATCTTTCCGACTAATTATCCAAATAATAGATTTAGGACTAAATTGGCAAATCTTTATAAGGTTTAGAATTAAATTGACACAATTGAAAGGTTTATGATTGAATTGGTAAATTGCAAAAAGGCTTAGGTTTAAATTGGCACAATCGAAAGGTTTAGGACTGAATTGGCAGCCGTACAATAAGTTTATGAATTTTTGGACAATTATCCGGCACATGCAAGTAGAACAAGTTCATCATTTAATCCCATAATAAAGATCAATACAAAACTAGCTGCCAATAATTTTCCTTCTTGATGAAGAGCCAAGAACAGGAAACTCTCATCAGTCAACTCTTTGATCCAACCAAAAAGCCAAGAACAAGAAACGATGATACATACATACGTCCAAGTCCTAAACTCCATCTTATCCGCCACGCGAAGGTGGAATTGTCCTCCATCAATCTCTCCTTCGCAGCCGTCTCGAGATCGACCGTGCATGCGTGCTCCTCCGGATACCGGTGCGTCCCGCGGAACCAGCCCTAGCAACCCGACATGCATCTATATTTTGTTCTTCTTGATCGTCCCCGCGGCCGAAGCATCGAGAGTCGGTCCACCCGCGGAAGCTACTGAACCATCCAATGAAACGGCGATGGTTTGGCCCGTGCCCACGTTGGCAGCAGTGGATTCCACGAGTTGGTCTTTGAGAAAAGCAGCGCAGCAACCTGGAGCGGAGACTTTTGAAGCTCTCCGACTCCATAAAAGCCGCAACCTCTCGCGCAAATTGGTGGCTCTGAGTTCAAAGGTTGTGTTTGATTCCTTGTTCCATGTGCTTGCATGGGTGTGCTTTTCATGAATCTCAGAACATGAAATGTATAGTGTGCTATGAATCGTGCAGCAATCATTTTGGGGGGGGAAATTTATGCGGCATACATAAGCACGCCCTCTGGATAAAGATCTTTGAATTCTAGTAGATTCGTCTTTAGTAAGTCCAAAGAATTGGAATCACAGTTTACAGTTGGAAAACAGAGACAACTGAGAATTAGGAAACATTTTTGCTCGTGCAATTCCTATAACCACAATGAAGTTGCTATATGATACATGATGCTTTAGCTATCACTGTTGATGCTTACAAATAGCTTCTGTGGATGGTCAAATAGACATCTGCAAAAACATTCCCCTTCAGAAACAGCCTAAAAACAAAAGAATGATCCACAGGAGTATCCAGCTAAATATTTCTATGCATGTGGGTAGAAAAAAAACTCGCAATCACACACACTAACTACAAAATGGGAAATTTTTTCTTTTTATATAAATCCCACCGGGAACTGTTATAAGGATTCATCTGGCTCGATTATCTTATTCGATTGTTACAAGCTTCGAGTAGTTTATCCCCTGTCTCATTCCAATTCCTTGAGAAAGTCGATATTATCAACAAAGACCTGAAAATTTACAGAAAAGAAACCTACATCAGTTTTCCGGATGAGAAGATGCTTCAAGCCAGAGAGAGAGAGAGAGAGAGAGAGAGAGCGAGAGCAGGACACTACTGAATGCATCTCAAATAAAATCAACAATATGCATGTGTCAAAGAAATTAATGCAAGACGCAAAGATTTGAAGAGGAAAAAGAAATTGGACAATATGACTGTCGTGCTCGCCCAATTTTTAAAGTCTAAACTCCAGGAAGTAGTGTTTCAGACAAATCTATCATGCTCGAACGCTAAGCCCAGTAAAAAACATCATCAGGTAAGGTATGGCTTTTCTAATCTAACACCAACCCTTCAAAGGAAGTCCGTGTATACGCCCCTTATGTTTTTCCATGATGACAGTTTTGCCAGTGTCAATCACAGACCAGGACTAGGCTTGTCACATCTTGCAGCAGTCAATAACCAATAAAAGTAATTTGAGTCCATATGGGCCTATACTGACAGTTCAACCAATCAAATACATAAGTTAGACACATCATGAAGTATCACATACCGATTTCCAACCATCAGGATCCAGGCATGCTGTAATCTTTGTATTGATACCAGGTAATGGTCCAGGTTCCCGGGTAATCTTGCCACCACAGAGCTTAATTGCCTCGGCTGTTTTGTAAACATCATCAGTGCCTATCGCAATCTGCCAGAGACGAATACATTAGTCCCAGCTTATAAACTTGATTATGCACGTAAAGTAGAAATTATTCAATTTCTGTAGTCCTAAGCATACTTCAACAAGAAAGTGAATACAGAAACAGTAAACAGTAAATACACTTTTGAAATGTATTATAAGAGAACTAAGACCATATACTAAGCCAGTTAAAGGAAGGGAGACTCTGTACCTGAGCATAGGCATTGCCTTTGTCATATTCAGTGACACCATAATTATATGTCAACTCCAACACGGCATTCTTGTCTTCAGGGCCATATCCCATCATTGCTATGGTGTACTAGAATAGAAGAATTCAATGTCAGGAAGGTAGAGAAGGAGACGTGCATAAAAAAATAGAAACAAACACATTTCCAACAGTTTGAGGATGTATAATAATTTTCCACTCAAGAGAAGAACTTGACAGCACAGAGAAATCATGTAATATACGTATCTCGGTACCCAAAGTTACAACTCATAAAAACTTCAGACAACTTACGGCTCTAGGTAAAATAAGGAGACATGACTATACAGGTCAGACATCGTCGATCTTCAAATTTGATGGATGGCAAACAGATCATAAGATGATACCCGAAATAAAAGGATATTAAATTACCTTATACTCGGGATTATCTCTGGTACGAAGAAGTTCCATTCCAAAAGCCTGGTAGACATGACCAAGTTTATATAAAAAGTACATACTACATACCGAGAACTGGAAGTGAAATAAAAACAACCTAAAGAAAGATATGCATAAAAACAATGAGACCCTGCAGTTTGGATGTAGCATCCAAAATATAGTGCCTACTTATCTCACCTTCTCGTAGAAACTTATTGATCGATCAAGATCGCCTACACGAAGCATTACTTGACAAAGTGGCTCTGGAGTGGGACCTCTCTCCAAAAGTTCAAACTTATAACCATCAGGATCTTCAATAAATGCGATGACTGTGCTGCCCCCTTTGACCGGACCCGGTTCTCGCGTTACCTTGCCACCTTTAGCCTTTATGAGTTCCACAGTCTTGGCAATCTAATCAAGATATCACTATTTAAGCAACTATCCAACTCATAGCTGCACCAGGCATCTGACAAGCATTATGAGCTATCCACGTGACTTTTAGAAGGCATGATGCAACCATGATTCCTTTCGGTATGAAACTCGACGGGCAAGCAAATATTCAAGCCAGTCAGAAGCACCTCAAGTCCCACATATTGCTATCATGTTTAAATCGAGTTCGTCAAGCAACAATTTAAGTCATTTCCAGATCATAAGTACTTGGCCTCAATGCCTCATGATTCATTGACCCAATCGAGTACTAACTTTTCAGTTGTTTTCAACATTTCATGTAAGACATAAGTGAAGGAACCCGACAACACTTTCATCAAATTTCATATTGTTTTTGCCGATATAAATTGGAATCAAAACTTCATTTGGATAATCAAGACATGTGGAACCATGTGCAAGTACATTATGTATCTCATTTGGTAGATCTTAAACATGAACGGAGGAATTCGATCATGCTCGAGGTGAGCATATCCAGCTGCAACTGAAGAGGAGACAAGTCGTAGTCGGCTACGCTGACTCAAGTCGGACTAATTACATTAACATGGCCCTACATGACACAATACATCGCCAAAAATTGCAGAGAAGGGGCTGATGTCATAATGCAACTATCATTTTGGTGTCTAGCACAGAGACTGCCTCTGAAGTTTGTTAAAGATTGTCCAACCACACCATCAAAAACAATTTACCAGAAGAGTTCTTTGCAAGAACTTACATCGTCGACCGCGATGCCAAAATGGCCAAAACCAGTCCCAATGTCATACTTGTCAACTCCATAATCTGGCCATACCATAAATCAGGTAACATCGAAGACCAACAAAAATGATCAGTGAATTACGATGCAAAGCTCACCAAAGAAGAGTAATCAGCAATTCACAGGCCATAATTCAATGTGTGTGTGTGTGTAAATGGAGCAACTATTCATGTGGTTGGTTATCGTACTATAAGTGAGTTCAATCACAAAGTGGGAATCTTCTGGTCCATAACCAAGGAATGCATTCGTATATTTTTCTTCTGGTATGTCACGTTTACGCAACAGCTTCATGCCCAGGCATTCTGTGTAGAATCTGCACAAAACAGACATCTCTTTAGATCCAAGTTCCCTGTTGTGAAGTTAAAAAAGGAAGGGAAAATAGAGGAAAAGTGACATGGATCTGCATCAGGAATGAGAGCACGCACTTTATGGTTCTGTCCAAGTCCCCTACACGGTAGACAACATGAAGCAGTCTCCTTTTGTCTTGTTTAACCCAATCCAGAACATTCTCTTGGGTGGCAGTCGTGCTTGCTTGTGCCATATTTCCAGGAGTACTGGCAGCTGTGACATTGCTCTCTCCTCTTAACGCCCTAGAGGCTCTCATACCAAACGATTGAGACTGGGATACCACTGAGCAAGAATTCATAATTCAGCAAAGAACGTCAGGTTGCTACAGCAGATATAAACTCATTGGAAACAGACAATTCATCTTTTCGCTGATTTATGATGTGGGAGAACTTAAATAACCATTTCCTTATCCCAGCAAATTCTACAAAATGAAAGGAATTCGTGGCATTGCAGACTGCAATGTGGTTTTCAACTGGTGATGATGAATAAATACAGACTTATCCGAAAACACGAAAGTACTCTCCGCCATATATGACGGCAGCCAAAATGCTAAGCAAAATGAAATTCATGCCTCGATAGTCATTGGCATTCCTGCACTTTAAACTCACAAATTCAGATAAAGAAGAAGATAAATCTACCACACACCCCGAATCCAAAATGACAGTAGCTAGTGTTGTCCCGCGAGAAGTCATTGCTTTCAAAGAAGCAAGTTGCCCCTTTTTCAACAAATTCATTCTAGCTAACACATCTCTCGAATTACCTTTCCATCAACAACTGCGCGAATAGTCATTGGGACCGCGGAGTCAAAACCCAAGATTTTCCGACCAGCAAAACCAAGTCTTTATCAAACACACGAAATCTAACCCATACCCACAACCAGATAAATCCAGGCGAACCACCAATCGCACCGGAAAACCACAAAAAACCCAATATAATTCGCCAGCAAACAAGACCCAGAAGCCGAATAGGGGCTCAACAAGAAAAACAACCGGAGGAAGGAACGCGAGCCGGAGAGAACCTACCGCTGCCGAGGTGAGAGAAGGCGAGCCTCCGGGGAGGGGCGTGAGAAGGGGAGAGGGAGAGACCCAACCGGGAGGTGGAGGAGAAGCGGAACGAGGAGAGGGAAGGCCGAATCGAGGAGGCCATGGGGATTACCCTCACCATTCAGTCACGCACCACCCTCTCTACCTCTCTCTCTGCGTGTGGAAGAAGAAGCAGTATCGATAGCTCCGTCGCCTCCAGCAATCCCGTCCGTCTCCGGGGAGCTCAGGAATTGAAGCGCTCTGAAACTTTCAGTGTATGTGAAGCAGAAGAAGAAGAAGAAGAAGAAAGAGGAAGAAGGATGAGAAGAGAGTGCGTGTGCGAAGGTGGTGATAAGTTTTCGTGAGAAAGAGAGAGGGTTTTTTGGTTTTTGTCTTTTTTCCCTTTTTTGTTTTGTTCTGTTAATTTTGATTGATTGGTTTTTTGTTTTGGAAAAACAAATAATATGAAAATATATTTTTAAAATCAATAGCTCGTGTTGATTATAAATGTGAATGAGCGTAAAATATATTCATCATCAAAGATAATGTTTAGACGTAAATTGTTAATCGATGATAAAAAGTTTTTTATATTAGCTGATTATTTTACGCAATATAAATAATCAATTTTAGGAAAAAATTATATAGATTATTCATTTTCGGCGAAATAAACAGAATATTCGCATGTTAAGGAAAATAAATGTGAGCAATGATCCAGGTAAATAATCGATAGTTAAGGCTTTTTCTTTTCGCGAAAAGACGTTGACGTTGGAGTTGGAAATTATATTTCTTATAAATGATAGGTTACATTGATCAAAATAATTAGTTAATAGATAACATTTTTCACTATCGACAGAGATTTACATCTAAAAATTTTGGCAGGCGATAAAAATATTTTTTTCGTACATTCAATTTTATAAGCAATACAAATAATCATTTTTTTTTCCATTTTCCCGAATCAAACCGCACCAAATCTTCTTTTACGCATCTCATCTCGACGCAAGCACTTACTGAAAATAATAAATAAAAAATAAAATTTACACAATCTGGGCACCCGATATTTATCTAATTTTAGCATCGACAAATTTTTAAATAAATGAATTGGGGAATGAGTAAATGACACGAGTAATGGAAATAAAAAATTTTCCATGAGGTGTAAAATGAGAGAGAATAAATGTGAAAAAAAAGGGGGGGGAATAAAGGAGAGAATAAATAAAAGGGAGAAAAAGTAAAAAAAGAAAGAAAGAAAGAATGAAAGAATGAAAGAAGAAGTTGAGTGAGTGAGTGAGTGAGTGAGGGGATCTTGTGATTCGATTGTGCTCTCTGTCTGCTCATTATTTAGGGAATCATCATCGCTTGACGAGGTTTTACGAGGAACGAGAAGGACCAAAGGCCGAGGAATATCCGACAATTTTGTACGGGATTTTCTCATTTCGCGCTCGGTTGTGCCGCGTTATTTTCGATTAGGCCCTTCTACTTTTGATTTTTACAGGATTCGTGTCCTTAAATTTACTAAAGTATTCCGAATTCCAACCCCGCCACGAAACTCTCGTGATATTCCATTGGATATCGATGGTCACCGTTAAGGGTGATTGGTTTCGTGACGGGATAGGTTCTAGACTTACCTTGTTTGTCCTAAAACCAATCCTGAAACCTACCCGTCTTTTCAGTTTGGTTCCAGGGTTTACTTAAAAGCCTGTTTTTCTATTGTTCTTTTTTTTTCCGCTTCATGTTTTTACGGTAAAATAATATGATACAACAAATTGGTTCAAAGTATAAGATGAACAAGGGCAAGCGAGCAAAGGCAAGTCAAGACACAAACGAAGGTTGTGATGCTCGAACGAGCAAGGGCGAGCCATGAGCGAGCGAGGAGGGTGAGTTGCGAGCAAGAGAGAGAGAGAGAGAGAGTGAGTCGTGAAGTGTCTGAGTGGGGTTAAAAAGAATAGAGAAAAAGAAAAATAGTGAAAAAGATGACAAGGGAGAAATCAGGTTTTTTAAGCTTTGTGAACCGGTTCCAAATTTGATTCGATTTGTCCTGTTTCCGAGTGGTTCTACACTCGAAACTGAGAACCGGACCGGTACCAACGAGACTTGGAAGAAGATCGATTTTCAAGGCGGTCCAATCCGATTCCTAAGTAGAACTGATCCGGTGGCCAGCGCCTTCATTCTCACTTAATTATTTAATTGTTCGTTTAGTACAATCGCGATTCGCCGTGACTATGTTGGGAGACGATGCAACTTATACATTTGGTGATAAATTCTTGTAAATTACAGCACCTCGAAGTTTGGATAATATAATTTCTTAAAAAGTTATGGCAAGCTACTGCCTCTATATGAAAGTTTTAAAGCCTCTTCTCGGAATTGTGAATGTTGCAAGAAAGGAGTACCCAGGGGGCGCCAAATCTGGGGTGCATGACACATATGTTAGGATGAATCGTGGGCCTCATTCAAACTCTATAAAGATATTCATGAAATGGGTCACTCAAAGAAAAAGGGAAGGAAAGAAAGACACAGAAAATCACTAGTAATGCAAAAGTCAAATGTACAAACTGCCAAAAGATAAATAGAAAAAAAAAAAAAAAAAGAAGCCTACACATCTTGTGGTGTTAAATCTACCAATATTTGAAATAAACGAAAAATAAATAATTTAAATAATATTTTCTTAAAAATGATTATTTGTATTGCTTATAGATAAAAAAATAAATGAAAAATATTTTTATCATCCGTGAAAATATTTAGACGTAAATTATTATTTACAGTTGACCGATTATTTTAAGCAATACGAATTATTATCGAGCTATTATTTTTAAGAAAATATTTTCCAAATCATTCATTTATTCGCGAAATAAACGGAGCCTAATCGGAAAATTTTCAATTTTTTTAAAATACGAAACATTAGAATTTTGGGTGTTTTACTTCTGCGTATAACTGCAAAAGAGGAACAATGAAGGATATAAAGAGAACTCAAAAATAGGGAACATTGACAGTGTGCTCTCTGTTATCAGACCAAATCTATGTTACACAGACACATAAGTTTCAATGAATTCTGGGCCTACTTCTTTCTCTGAGATATTCATCAAATGTGTCCCAAAAAAAGAAGAAAAAAAAAAGGAAAAAAGACAGCAATTCTGGGCCTACTTCCTTCTCTGAGATATTCATGAGATGTGTCCCAAAACAGAAGAAAAACAGAAAGCAAAAGAGCCTCTGCCTATACATCTTCTGGTGTCTGTCTTGGGTTCTGATTCTGCGAGTCTTGAGATCTCCTCTCCCTGTTAGCAAACCACTGAGCTGTTCTTCTGGCAATTGGCAGCCACAGCCTCCTCATTCTCTCCTCCTTTGACCCTCCATTTTCATGTGAGGAAGCCTCTTGGTACCTGTTCTTCATGCTCAAGCTTCCGAGCCTCGACACCCCCGTGATCTCGGACATCGATCTCTTCTCGTCCGGCACCAGATACTTCGATCCGCGCGTCGCCGTCGGAGGAGGGAGGCCCGCGGTCGGGACCGCACCAGTCAAGCTCTTGGGGCTGAGCTTGCTCTCAAACAGTCTCTTCAGCTCCATCTCTTCCTTGATCTTCCCAATTTGGCCCTCTGTATTGGCTCTGCTTGTTTTGGACTGGCCAGGACTGGCCTCCAGGGAAGAGAACTTTTTGCTTGACACAGAGCTCAGCATTTCTGAATTCAGGAACATCAGGTCTGAAGAGCTCACATTGCTCCACCTGTTCTTGAAGAACACGTCAGACACCAGAATCCTGTGATTGAACTTGTGCAGGTCCACTCCTCGATCCTGATCAGCATTTCTGGCCTCGTCTCGGATTGAGACCTCGTCTTCTCTGTCGGCCTTGAACATCCTCCTTAAGCTACTCCCGATGCCGAACCTGGAGGACCCGCGATTTTCCTCCTCCCTCTGGACAAAGAGCAGCTCCGGATTCGAGTCCTCGTGTCTGCTCGATTGGTTCCACAGCCTCATGCTACTTGAGTAGGTGAAGAACGCTGGATCCTCCACGCTCAGCCTGTGCCTGCAGAGGGGGCAGCTGGAGTGGCTCTCGAGCCAGCGGTCGATGCACTCGATGTGGAAGGCGTGCTTGCATTGAGGCAGCAGCCGGAGGATCTCGATGTCCTCGAACTTGGAGAGGCACACTGCGCACTCAAGCCCTTCTTTTGATCCCTTGAGTGAGGAAAACCTGAAGAAAGGGAGCGACTCGATCACTGCCTTGTCAATACCTGATAACTGTGATCTCGACCTCGTGAGCCCAAGACGAGCTTCCGGGTCACCATGGATAGCTGATGGACGGGAAAGACAAAGCTTCGTAAAGATGAGAAGGATGCAAGCAAGAAAGAACATCAGGGAGAGTATTCCCATGACAGCACCGAGGCTCGGCTGGAAATTCGAGTCATCCTGCGAGGTTATCTCTCCCTGGCTCTGGCTAGGCGAAATTTGCGCTTCAACATGGAAAAAAACCGAACAGAAGATCAAGGCATAGACGCGGGCCCGACTCATGTGAGGATCGAGAGCTAACACTTCGGCCTCAAATGTCGAAAACTCGAAACTCTATATGCGTGGAAACCTTCCTAGAGGTTCTGATTTTTTGGACTGTAATGGGGTTTGTTTGGCTTGGCCTTAAAAAGAAGTTGGTCCACGTCTAAATGGAGAATCCTTCTCTGGTTCATGAGATTTCCTCGTTTGTTCTCAGGCTGTTCACGTCTGTCCATACTCGTCGAACTAATTTATTCTCCAAAGGAAGCTTTTTAAAGTTGGAAATCTATGTAGTGATGTAGAGATGGTGAGACTTGTTTATAAAAACAATTTAGTCAATAACAATGCGAGATAGTATCAAAATTTAGAAACAACTGATACAGAATAATAACCATATGAAATTTATCCTCAATGTGAAAAGAGCCATTTAGACACCAACTTGATAAGGTCATTCACCTGAGTGGCAACTGTTCCAAGTCCTAATGCATTTTTACCGTTCTTTTAATCTTGGTTTGCTCTTGATCCAATAAATTAAGCTCCGATCATCAACCACCCCTTTAACACAACACGAAATGACGATCAGAAAGCGACTTCGTCCTCTGAGTTAGGATATTCCCTTGCTCGACACGTTTTCAAAACCGATAAAAGGATCTATTTGATTAATTCGACGCACATGTATTCTCCGATCAATGCCCATAAAAAGGCTTGGACACCTAATCGACTTACTTTGTGATTGACTAAACGATTGGTTTAGAGGCATTGCAAAATTTCTTCTTTTAGTCTTATGAAACGAAAAGGGAGAAGAAATCGTCTTCCTTTTCTATCTATCCAAAAAAGAAAATTGTAAATGATGCAAATAATAAAAGTCAATGTTGGGTGTGCATGAGTAATCCAGCAAGAGGTAAACAATTTGAAGAAGTCCACCCTTTGGGGGTTCAAGCAGGATGAGATCACTGCATAGGCCATCATCCCCATCCAGGCAAGACAACAGAGACCCAAAACAAACGCCAACCTTAGTCTACCTTAGTTGTCGTTGATGCTAATTATCAAAATTGAACAAGCAACAAGCAATTCAAACAGCTGACATTTGAAGTCTACTAAAATAAGCAATTCAAGTCAAGGAAGCTAAATTAAGCTAATGAGGCCGCATTCTCGTTACCATATCGGTATCCGCGTGTTGTATATTCGATCGATTTCCTTAAACCCGTGTTGATCTATCTTCATCAGAGAGAGAAAAAAAAAATCAGCAACTTGAAAGTTATGTTATGACATTTGAGATTGAAGATTCTTCGTCCCACATGTTTTTATTTAGTTTTTGTGTGCAACAGCTTATGTGGTTAGAATTCATCCTGACATGCTATGCCCACCTTGTTCAGAATTGCTGTTTTTTTAAGGTGTTGAGGAATCTGAAGGAAGTATCAAACAGGTAATGTCAGATTGGAGTATCTTGGTTGACGGACATGTTGCCTCAAAGAACAGGAAACAGAATTGGGGGGTATGGTATCGATGTGAATCCGGCGACTGGATCCGATCTCTCTAATTTTGTGAAATTCATGTGCGACCCATCAAGTTGATTAGTTCGGGGTAGATGCATTGAGTACGCATGCATCTCATATTCATATTAGGAATGTTCCTCCAATACGGTACCCTTGTCCAATTGCTCGGTTTTACTATTCTCGATGCTTGGCTGTCATGAAAAATTACGATTTGCGTTGGATATTTCGAAAAGATGATGCTTTATTCTGGGCAACCCTTATTTTTCTGTTTATTACTTTGGCCGTATTTCTATGTCTATTTATGAAATCGAACTTTAGCCCTTTTATCTTCTAGTGTCGTTGGCACACAAGACATCCTTAGTTAATAAAATTAGAGAAACTCGAGCAGAGAATAAATGATTTTTGGGCATTAATGTAGTTTATAATGGTATGTATATCAATAATCATGATCACCGCCAAAACACGATGCCATTTAACTGATGATAAGAGGGTTGTTTAACATGTAAATTACACAACCATTAGCGTGATTATTAGAAAATAATAGATAAAAAATGTGTTGTTATGCCTATCTTACATGTACATTTAAATTATCATATTGTTTCATCCTTTCAGTAGCACTTTTTACCATCAATAATGACTACAACTTTACCAGATGGCTCCATACTTTATTCTAGATCGTTCGTGCGTACCATACAAGGACCAATTAAAGAAAAAACAAAACAAACAAATATGTCTACTTGTCTTAATCATTGGTCTAATCATGTACTGCACCGGACTATTAAAAAGAACAACCAGTGAGGAATAAACACAAACACAAACATGCGGCGATAGTTTCTCAGGACGCACATGAGCAATGAATGAAGGAAGGATAACAGAGGAAAGGTCGTCGAGGCAACGTGATTCAAGCATGACAGATCATTCATGCGTGCTGAACACGAATATCTTTTGTACATGCTGAGACTTAAAGGGCAGGATCTATTTTTGTATTATGTTTTCGGGTCAGATAAAATTAGAATAATCACGAATTCGCTTACAAAATTTGCAACAATAAAATAAGCAAAAAGTAGATCATAATCAATGTCTGTGATTTGTAAGAGTTTACCGCATCGCTTGATATACCAATTTTGTGAATCAGTTTCAACTACCTGTCAAAGTGTAGTTGTAATATCATTCTCGATATTTCGGATTCTAGGATTAATATTTGTCCATCTACATCGCCAAGAAAGAGTCAAATTATAAGTGGCAACCGTCCATAACTGAAATCTCCAATTGCTGTCAGCTAATGTCTTGCCATCCGACAAGTTTTCTCATTTGCCTTAACACCTTCACCAGTAGGCAGTAACTGAGATCAAGTTTTCAAATCCTTTTCTGCTTAGTTGACAGTAGAAAGATTGCAATCAATCTTACGATTACATCTTAACGATTTGGTCCAATGGATCCTCTATCATTAACTGTTAGCAAATCAATTCCTACAAGAACTATAATCATCCCTGCATATCGTGGAACACTCACTACTAGAACTATAATCATTAGCTGTTAGAAAATCAATTCTGACGACTAACAATGCCTTCAAACTCTAGGTACCCAAAACTTGGTCAATAGGGGAACACTCACTGATAAGAGCTATCTTCATCCCTACATATGCTTTTGGTACACAATACTTAATAAAGTAAATGGAGGAGCAGCTCCAAACCTCTACATATTCAAGAAGCCAAGTAAATTTGGTTTTGCTCAAGCCTCAAGCATATGAAGCAGCTGTTGTATGCGAATACAGAAAGCAGCCAGTTGCAGCGCCAACATTGAGATTCAACTCTGTGGCCTGAAAAAAGAGTTCTTCAACCCCATTCTAGCATTATGATATCAAGTCAGAGTTAACAGATCTTTCGATAGATGAAATCAATTCAAAATACATAATGCGGAATCCAAACTATAAAATATTACTATTTAACAAGAACACGATTCTAGATTCCAGAACATTATTACATACAGAAACTAGGGAAGCAGGTTACTGCAGAAATTAATGAAGTAGGCTAAAAAGTACATCGCCAAAGAGGTAAATTAGCGAGGAAGTGAGGGAATCTCACTAATATACAAAGCCACATCCCGTTTCCTTGATTAGAGGCCAGAGATATCAGCCAACAGGGGGCTCTCTGGTACAGCTTCAGCTCTGAGCAGAGGCAGCAGGATTGTTGTTTGGGAATGTTGACAAACCGGCACCACCATCTGGATTAGCAGGCTCCTCTGCTGCATGCTGGACAAACTCTTCAGGGGACATGTGAGAACCATGACAAGCACAAACGATCTTGATTTGGTTCGCACTGAATCTGTAAGGAACACCTGAAATGGTCCTGCCATTTGGGGCAGGTCCAGTAGTAGAAACCCAAGGGAGATTCGGATAGGAACCACATCCACCAAATTTCACATCCGCAGCAATACCCGGCTTGATGGCAGGGAAGTCGATGGAAAAGACTTCAGCTGTTCCCTTCGCATCTTCTTCGGTCCGAGTAGAGGAACCTTCTTCGGACCTGTGCTGTTTCTCCTCACCTTTGACTAGTTCGGGCATCCTCCCACCATATTGGGCAACCTCAGGTGAAGTGCGAGAAACCACTTGATTGGAGGCTGCAATAATTGCAGAGATACATTATGATATGCTGACCTATATATACAGGTAGACATGAATCACGAGAAGCAGAGAATGGGAAAACCTTCCATGTTAGATATTACGCATAATGAAGACAGATAGTCACAGAACCCATCATCAATATCATATGCTATCCTTTCAATAAAGCACCAGTGTACAGGTTACAAAAGGTCAAAGCCTGAGATGCTAAGGTCTCAATCTTGAGTTATGGTCAGATGCTCATAACAACTATGAACAGTTCAACTATTTGCGTAGCAATAACTCATCAAGTAAGTCCTTTTATATTAGCGCTTAAGCAGCAACAAAACAGCCGAAATATTTCTAAATCTTAAGTGAAATGGTAAGTAATCCTACCACAAAGGCTACACAGGTCATTAAACATTCTAGACTAGCGATCCTAATCACAGGAATACGTGTCATGATTATGAGGTACAAAGACGCCAATTTTGAATAGGGACATGTATTCTCAAAGCAATGTTCCATAGAGAAAACAACACAATATTGTCACCTTGAAATACTCTGACCTAGCATTAAATTTACCTAAGTTAGGTGGAACTTTGCCTGTGTATGAAGAATGCAGCTGTTGAGCATGAGGAACCAACCCCCATGGGTGATCCTTATCCATTGTCGGAAGTTGAACTGGTGGGTACCCAAACATCATTGGCAAATTAGCTGGAGTCACAGACTGTATAACTCCGGCAGGTGGATAACCAGGTGTGCCTGGTGCAGCTGTAGAGTTAGAGTCCCTTGGAGTGACTGAGTGGGACCCATTTACCATGTTCATCGGTTGGATAGAGAATGGAACGCCATAACCTGGGTTCAGTTTGAACTCATTTTCTGATGGAGCATGAAATCTCTTCTGGTTTTGCAATTCCGCAGTCCTACAATCAGAGAACCCATGAGCTTCTTTAGCAAGCTCTGGATTGAACCGTTTAGAGCTGTCATCATGGTGTTGGGCCAATCTTGAGGTTGAACCCTCAACTTCTGAATCTGCCACATCTTCATTATCAGCAGCTGAACCATCTTCTGTTGCTATGGAGACATACGAACTTTTAGGCTTGTCATGCACATTGCCATAACCAACTTCTCTGCCATGCTTATTTGGATAATTTATCTCATCAAAAGGCATTCTCCTTTTATTGCTCGTCTCTGTCTGGTTTTCTCCATTCGTTTCAGAGGGCCTGTAGATCCCAGCAACCCATGGTCCTTTTCCACTCAAATTCACAGAAGCATCTGCATCACTGGATGCCTTTGAAAGATCACTGAAGAAGTTTTCTGGAGGTTTTGCTGAATCACTTTGAGATCCAGCTCCAGAGTCCTGCTTTTGTGAACCACCATGTAGAAAATCTTTAAAGTCACCAACTATTCTGCTCCCCCTATCATCTTCTGCCGTCGAATCCGAGGTACCAGTACCACTTTTGCCCTTAAGCTTGCCAGCAGATCCACCACAGGAGAGACCCAAACCAAGGTCAAGGCCATTCTCGTCCTCCATCTTATCAGGGAGGAAGTGCTTTTCTAGGGCAATGGGGATCAGAATCCTTCAGTTATTCTTTGTTATCCCGACATCATGACGCAGCATTCACTAATTGGGGCCTGAACAAGATCATCTATCCACAATCAAGATATGAAAGACAAGAAGGGTGAAAAGAAAAGGACACTGAATCCAGAGAAGTACATGCACCAAAACAGATGGGTCGAAGCTAGAAGCAAGAACTCTTTTGATGAGTAGAGATCAAGAACTCATGCACCCGCATGAGGATATACACACATAAGCATATGCAAGCCCGTACATGCATACATGCACTCACAACATGCATTTCTATTATTGAATAGATCAATGGTAAGAATTTGAGCGAGACTGACATGCTTTGAGCCATAGATATCATGATCCTAGTCACGGTTTTCCTGCCGAAACGGGTGCGACAAGAAGCTGACTCACCGACAGTGACTTGTTTCTTACCCTTACACATTGAACCAAACCCATGTTCCAGTAAGCTAAAAGAGCACGTTCTACAAACAAACAACACTCCAAACCCTACATAAACCAGGAACAAAATCAGCTCGACCTTCCCCGATCCCAACTCCCAGGCTATTCTCACAGCTTAAGTAATCCAAGACAGATGCGAAGCTTTTCATCGCCAGGAAAGGAAATATCTACAGCGTCAGAGCAAAGAAGAGCAACAACCCAATCATTCCAATACAAGAATAGAAATGCTTGCACTCCAACCAAACCGTCCCCATCAAAATTCAATACCACAAGCACGTCACCATACGCTGAACCCGGGCAACATGCCCACAAGTCGCCAGCCGTTTCCACAAACTCCTCCCCGGGGCAACACAAAACGCGCTGCATCCGAGAGGATCCCCCCCTCCCCCTCCCCCTCCGCGATCGCTTCGAACCCAGGCGCCACGAATCCCGCCACAACAGCGGAGACCCAACAGGGAAGAGGGTCGCGGGACAACAATGCGCGGCCCCAAAACACCGGACGGCGCGACATGCATCGATCGAGCTCGTCTCGATCAAGCTCAGAGCACCAGAAAAAAAAAACGATCTTTTTTCCCCCGCACCCCCCCTTTCTTCCCCAACCCCATTAACCTAAGCAAATCGCGGGAGAGATTCAGACGTTGATGTAGGAGAAGAGATGGAGGGGAAGATACATCGATACCTCGAAATCGGAGGGGAAGACGCGAGTCCGAATCCGAACCCTAGGGGCCAACCTGGTGCGATTCAGAGAGAGAGAGAGAGAGAGAAGAGAGGAGAGAGGAGAAGTCTGGTTGTGGAACTGCAGTAGAAAGAATGGCTGGAAACCCACCCTCCTCGCTTGCTTTTCTTCTGCAATTTTTTTTTTTCTCTCTCTCTCTCCATCTCTCGTTCAATTTTCACCATGTGTTTTTCATGAAAGATCATTTTCTGCTCTTGAGGGAAAAAAACGTTCCCAATTAATATGAAAAGCGAGAAAAATTGATGTCGGTGGTCCCGAACTTTGGCCTAACGTTCGATGTCGTCCGTGGATTTTGGCCCAACGTTTGGAGCTTACCCTTGATTCATTCCTTCCTAAATGTTTGGCGTGGTCTTTCGTTTGATCGGACCGAGGAGGAGATCACCACGAGCACCTCGGCAATTGCAAAATGTAATAACGTAGTCCCTCGACATTCTTTAACAAAGGCAAATCTCGGTCCTTCGATACTAACTGGGTTAAATGTGGCAATGGTGCATCGGTTTAGGTTAAATGTGGTACGGATGTAGTAATTTATAAGCACACAAGCAAATAATTTTATTGTCGGAGGCTAGTCTTAGCCCACTCTATTACAAACCATGCAAAGCTAATATCCCTTTTTCTCTACAAATTTCTATCTAATATTAGAGATCTTAAAGTTGTAAGATAACACATTATCACGGTAGTACGCTCTACACTCGCTTTGATAAGGATCTTGTGCATCAGAATCTAAGGCTAGAAGGCCTTATATTTGAAATAAGGGTTTCGCTTGATGCTAAACGTCAGTCCCGACAGAGTAAGGCCAATGAGAGGCACCGCGATGGGACTGAATACCTGCATCTGCTAAGTTCTTGTTTTGAGCATAGCCCCTTTCATTTGTGGTGAAATGCGTCATCGGTAAACATGGCAAAGGTGTACCGGTTCGAGAGTTTTTGTACATAAAAAATTAGTTTGAGTTAAATGTGGTACGAACGTATCGATTTGGGGTTTGTTGTTATTAACCCCATATATTAGGGTTAATACCATGAAAAACTCCAAACTGGTACACCAGTGATAATTTTATCCCAATCTATTTTTTTTACCACAAAAAACCCCAAATTGGTACGCTTGTGACAAATTTACCCAAACTAATTTTTTGACCACAAAAAACCTCAAACTGGTACATTTGTGATAAATTTACCCTCCGTTAGTTTCTGTTAAATTGAATTAATACCACAAAAAATCATAAACTGGTACGTACGTGACAAATGGAGTGTAAAACATAAAACTAGTACATCAGTTAACTGTCGCGTGTTATTTAACAAAGCAATTTGATAGTAAAATTTAACGGAAACAAACTGAGAATAAATTTGTCACAAGTATACCAGTTTGGAGTTTTTGGTGATCAAAAAAATTAGTTTATGGTAAAATTATTTTAAGTGTACCAATTTGAGATTTTTCGTGGTATTAATCCCATATATTACGATAATTTTGTGTGTACTTTAGCTTATGGTCTTTATAATTGCAAAACTAAAATGAGTTGTATTAGGTTGATATTCGTGCAATATTAAGTTTAAGGCTGCATTTGACCGTCTAAATTTTATCTGTAGGATAAGATAATGTCGAATAGGCTAATGATGATTTGCGTAATATCATAGATAACGGAGTAATTTGACCATGAAAAATTAGTAAAAGCCCAAAAATATTTATTTGTAACCCACCAACTATTCTGGGTCGGGCTCCATGCGTTGGTTCGGCCCATGGATGGGTAAAGGAAATGCGGATTCGGACAGAGAAAGGACAAACCGTACGCGAATCGGGTAATAGGGTCCGGATTCAAGTTCAGTTCTTCCGGTTTTGGAATCGCAAATCGTGTGATTTTCCGTCGGTAGAAATTCGTAAAAATTTCTCTGTGAAATTAAGTTTCTCTATGCTCAATCTTTGATTAATTATTTATTATTGGAAGAGATTTTTATTACCTTTTTTCCTCCAAAAAACAGTAAGCAATTTTGTCGCGGATTGAGATCCCCACAAGTAATTGACTTAAGATACATGAGATCTTGATGCATCATCGGCCATTTTAGTTTTCAATTGCAAGCCGTGATCGCAAAAAGAGTAAATTCTATAATTTCACCTGAGGATTCTTCTTCCTCTAAACCAGACTTGATCGATGTACTCGCCTAAACTAGCTAGAATTGGCTCGTGAAAATTTATTGGCCCAACGGAATATAAGGTTGAGCTTACAGAACCTCACGTGACTATATCGATGTAGCCAATCCAAACCAAGTAAGCTAAGCCATCAGTCCAAGTCTGTCCCCATCTTGAAAAGAACAAAAGAAAAACCTCCTTAGTCTTATCAGGTCCATCTCAATAAATTAACGATAATCGAATCCTTTGAGTCGGCCATCGTGCCTATCAAAAACACACTTTCCAGCCAATTTTCCGTTCCCCTTAAATCTAAGGATTGAAGTTCTATATTTTCCTCCGAAACAGGTAACGAGAAATTAATTAACCATAAATTATTTAAAAAATGGGTTGATTAGTTGAATGCATTCTTTCTTCTTTTTTTCCTAATCTTTTTCCCCTATTCAAACCCATATTCGATTAATAATGGTGACAATAGATTCCTTTTTCTTGCTATATCTGTCATGAGAATTTATTATAGCTTCAACGTAGACGACAGGGATAAGTGCCTTTCAGGAAACCCCCGGTGGGCCCCCCCTTTTGATTTTTCTAATCTAATAATCCAATGTTCACCACCTAAGATTGAGGTGCCGGTCAAAACCGCTTAACGTTAGTTTAATATAAATAAATATTTTAAAGAAATTATACGAAAGAAAAATGTTCACCGTGATTTATTATAAACACACCTCTCAATCAAAGTCGTCAACAGCAAAAAAAAAAATAATTTAGATGCCCCTCGAAACTCCCGTATCATCGTCAGGCAACCTAATCACAACCCGATAAGTTTATAACTTCATGATTCGATGATTAATTTAGAAGCAATGTGCATAATTGCTCCAAAAGAATCATATTAAGTATACCCAAGTCAATTAATCAATGACGGCCGGTGAATTTATCTTAACATATTTCATTGAACGAAATAAATAAAGAAAGGACAATATTTATTATCAAGATTTAGATTGGATGAACCCGGACGTCCTACATCCCATACTTTTACCATGTAACTTTGATCCAAATATTTATCGTGGCGATTACAAGAGTAAGCCCCATTTTTTACCTCTTGCTTGAGAGGGGCATGCGTAATTTTGTTTTTTGTTTTAGTAAAATTGAAACCAAGCAAAAAGAAGAAAAAAAAAATAATCTTAAATCAACAATGTGGCCCATAAGGAATAATGTGGTCAATTTAAGATGGTAGAGATATCGGAAGCCAAAATTAGAATGGAAAAAGGAGGAGCCTTAATTTAATGCATTCTTTTTTGGGGAAATTTCAAAGAAGGCCGTGAAGTGGGGTCATTTTATCAAGGGAGGGTCCAAAGTGAAACTTATTTTCAAACAAAACCTTAAAGTTGCCAATTTAATCTCAAATAAGGCCTCGAGCTCATACGTCGACCAAACTTTGCAAACCATCGAGCCCATGCACATCACGTGCACCTTTCGTGCATTTATGCACCTGAGACACACAAGCTCGCTGCCGGCAAAGATTTGGCCCGCCAGTGAGCAAGAGGTCTTATTAGAGACTAAGTTGGCCACTTCAATGCCTTATATAAGATAAAGTTAATTCTACGTGTTCTTTTGAGAAAAAGGTCCTACTTTAGATCCTAATTTGAAATTTCCCAATTATTTGTTTTTTTCTCTCTTCCCCAACCCAAGCCCCTTCTCAAATCCATATTTGACTATTAATGGTGACGATGGACTTCTTTGTCTTGCTATATCTGTCATGATAATTTTATATTTCCGAGAAGACGGACGGGCAGAGATCAGTGACTTCAGAACACCCCCAGTGGGCCCCCCCCCCTTTGATTTTTCAATCTCATAAACTAATGTTTAACCCACGAGATTGAGGTGTCGGTCAAACCGCACTATGTGTTGTTTAATATAATTAAGCATTTTAATGAAATTATAGAGAAAAAAAATTACGTTCAACATGATTTATTATAAAACACAGCTCTTATGGGAAGTCGTCGATAGAGAAAAAAAAAAGATTTTAGATTGCCCTCGAAACTCCCGTACCATTGTAGTCAGACAACTTGATCATAACACGATAAGTTTACAAATCCTCATAAATGGATCATCAATTTAGAAGAAATGTGCATAGCCGCTCCAAAAGAATCGCATCAACATACATCCAAGTCAATCAATCAGCGGCGGCTTTATCTCAACATATTTCAGCGAAATAAATAAAAAACGGACGATATTTACTGTCGTGATTTAGATTAGATGAACCCGGACGAATGTGCCCCCGGCGCTTCTACCATGTTAATTCCGAACTCTTTTTAGCAAAAAACAAAAAAAAAATGTAATTCCGAACCCAAGTATTTATCGTGGCGATTACCATTATTATCATCGTTTTCTGTGGTCCAGATTCAAATTACCAGATTTTGAGGAAGCGATAAGCTCGATCCCCAAAATAGGAAGCAAAGCAAAAACCAAATCTCCAACCCAATCCCCCCCATATTTCCTTCCAGATCCCATCGGATGACGATTAGGTCATTGGCCATTATCCAGAATTTAATAAATTCGCTTCTTTTTTTTTTTGCCCTTTTCTTGATTTCAAAATACATCTGTATTTATATTCTTACCCTAAAAAAGTAAAGACCAATCGGATAAGAAGCAAGTTAAACCAGCGAGTGAGTCCCTCTTTGACCACAGTTGCGTCAATCAAAACATATAATATATAATTATTATAAGTTAAATGAATTAGGAAACATTTTTTTTTTATCTTTCAAAAAAGCAGCTGGGTATTTTATACACGTCACTGTCCTTATCCCTCTCGTTTTTCCCTTGTTATTTTTGTCCCACCTGATTATAAATTTAAATTTCTTGGAGCGATATCACTTCGTTGACCCTGACGAGGCCTTGGATTCCGCCATAACCTCGCGGTCTTCTCTGCAAACTCTTCAGCGCATGTGTCGGGGACTGACTGAGAGGCCTGCCCAAAAGAGGATCCAAAAGTGCAGTGCAGTGCAGTGCAGTGACATGTTGTAATTGAGAGATAGAGAGAGAGAGAGAGAGATAGAGAGAGCGTGCAAAAATGGCGGGTGGAGGATTTGTGGAAGCAGGGCAATTGAAGAGGGCTCATCTTTATGAGTACAGGATCACTGGGTATTTCGTATTTGCTTGCATCATTGCAGCTCTTGGAGGATCTCTTTTCGGGTATGATCTGGGTGTTTCGGGTGAGTTCTCTTTTTCTTCCCCTTTTGTTTCGCCTTTTTGCTTGACTTTTGAAATTATCTGCTGTGATGTTCTGTGATTCAGAAGCATGTTATCCAATCTGGGGAGATAGTTTTCTTTTGTGGACCTTTGGTTTTTGTTAAATTTCTCGGCTAATCAGATGTGAGCGGTTCTTGTGTCGGTGTTATTGTTATTTTCAAGATTTGTTGATCATCAACATATCTTGTTACCATTGAGAAGAGATCAGTACTTGTTGGTGGTGAAGGAATCTACTCATTACTGGTTTGTTGGTCCTCCTCCTTTCCCATCTTCATATAGAGTTGCAAGATTTAACGCTGGATAGGCAAAATGTTTGTAATGAGATCGGTAGACAAAAGTTTTTGTCATCATACAAGTAGAGCGATTTCATGATGCAGAAACAACTGATGGGGTCACCAGATACACTTTTTCGCGATAATTTTTCCGGGCATCTCTGTAACGTCACTCAGAATGCTGTGCTAAGTAGAATTAGATGTATTTATTAGCAAAACGATGCTTTGTGGAAGATAAATGCAGAATTTTCATTGAAATGGTGATGCAAAAGGGTTGCTTTTTGTCCCAACAGTAGTTGCAAAAATGCAGAGAAGCGGGCAGATTTCTCAAAGTTCTAATTTAACCGGTCTTCATGTTAGCCAGTGTTGTTCTTAGTCGTGTCTTTGTTATTATTCTGGATTCTGTGACATATGCAGTTCATTTTTCTGAATTCCTCCTATCCGAAACAGAATGAATTTAGGAACCTTTAAATTTATCGTGAAACGAACAATCTTGAAATTAGCAGATGGAGATGGTTTCTGGTATATTTGTGCAAGTTCCACACAAGTACTGTGGCGCCAGAAAGAAGATAATCCCTTCTTCTTCAATCTGAGTTCTTTAAAAATAGACGACGAAGATCTTAATACTTGCATTGGTTTCAGGTGGAGTGACCTCCATGGACGATTTCCTGAAGGAGTTCTTCCCAAAAGTGTACCGGAGGAAGCAAAAGCATCTGCACGAGACTGATTACTGCAAGTACGACAACCAGATCCTGACGCTATTCACTTCTTCTCTCTACTTTGCGGGCCTAGTCTCGACCTTCGCCGCATCGCACGTGACCAGAAGTAAAGGCAGAAGAGGTAGTATCATCGTGGGATCGATCAGTTTCTTCTTTGGAGCGGTCCTCAACGCAGCTGCTGTTAACATATGGATGCTGATCTTCGGTCGCATATTGCTCGGCGTCGGCATTGGATTTGGAAATCAAGTAAGCAAACTAAAAGAGCTAGCTTAATGAGTTTTGTTTGCTTGTGAAAACATAACATTGTCATGACAATTTGACTTGTACTGTGTCCTCGAACCATTTGTGCTCTAAGATTGCAATGCTTCACTCGGCATTTTCGATACCAATTGTTGCAGGCCGTCCCTCTATATCTCTCGGAAATGGCACCAGCAAAGATCCGAGGGGCAGTGAACCAGTTGTTCCAACTAACGACGTGCCTGGGGATATTGATAGCGAACCTGATAAATTATGGGACTGAGAAGATTCATCCTTGGGGTTGGAGACTGTCTCTTGGCCTTGCGACGGTCCCCGCGGTGCTCATGTTCGTTGGCGGCCTGTTCCTCCCCGAGACTCCAAACAGCCTTGTTGAGCAAGGCCGGGTGGACGAGGGGAGGAAGGTGTTGGAAAAAGTGCGTGGCACCAAGAATGTGGACGCGGAGTTTGAGGACCTCATCGAGGCAAGCGAGGCTGCACAGGCCATCAAGCATCCGTTCAGGAACCTCCTGAAGCGCAAGAATCGGCCCCAGTTGGTGATTGGGGCCCTTGGGATCCCCGCCTTCCAGCAGCTCACCGGCATGAACTCCATCCTCTTCTACGCTCCTGTGATCTTCCAAAGCCTGGGGTTTGGCTCGGGGGCTTCTCTGTACTCGTCCGTGCTGACCAGCTCGGCATTGGTCCTTGCTGCACTGATCTCGATGGCCTTTGTCGATAAGTTTGGCAGGAGGGCTTTCTTCCTAGAAGCTGGCACCGAAATGATATGTTACTTGGTGAGTTAGTACTTAGCAGCAACTATTGAACTACCCAAACAAGGCTTTAGATTTTTCTGGTTCGTTCTTTGTTATTTCTGATTGATGAATCAGAGACATTTTCCACTGTCAGGTCGCCGTGGCTATAACCTTGGCGCTGAAATTTGGACAAGGAGTGGTGCTGGCCAAGGGGATCGGAGTCTTCCTCGTGGTCATCATCTGCCTTTTTGTGCTGGCCTATGGGAGGTCGTGGGGACCGCTGGGGTGGCTCGTGCCAAGCGAGCTCTTTCCCCTCGAGACGAGGTCGGCAGGCCAGAGTGTGGTTGTGTGTGTTAACCTCTTATTCACGGCGTTGATCGCCCAGTGCTTCCTCGCCTCGCTCTGCCACCTCAAGTACGGGATTTTCTTGCTGTTTGCGGCATTGATCGTGATCATGAGCTGCTTTATCTTCTTCCTCTTGCCGGAGACAAAGCAAGTCCCAATAGAGGAGGTCTACCTTCTGTGGAAGAGTCATTGGTTCTGGAAGAATTACGTCAATGATGAGCACGTCACTGGAGTTGGAAAATAAAGCACCATCAATTTGGTATATTTCAAAGAAAATTGTCTAGTCCTCTTGTCTATATTCTATAGTTTCGTAATAAGGTTTGATGTGGTAGAGGGTTCTCGGTACTTCTAATTTTTCATGATTTTATACTTAAGCTTTTCATAGTCTTCCTGGATAGTGTATTGTTATCATTCATATTGGAAGAAACTATGTTCACATGGCTCGTCGAAAAATTAATTGGCAAGTTCAAACTCTTGAGTTATTTTGTTGCCCGTTCAAGGATGAATTGATGGCAGAATGGCAGGACTGCTGAAGTTAAGAAGCATCAGCTCATATATTTGATTCATCCCAATGAAGGTTCCAATATATGAGGGACTGGCCGATGGCCGGCGAAATTTCTGAAATTTTCTGAAAAATAATTAGTCCTTTCAGTCGGGTATAACGTGGACGAAAGCTGTAGAAATTCCCTACTATGGCGAGCTTCTGTAAAATAGGCAGACAAAATCTATTCTTCTTCTGAAGTATTTGCATGATGCTTCAACTATGCACTCTTTGAACCTGGAAGGCGCAAAACTCGCTCGTCTGATGGCCGGTCTGGTTTGGTTGGAGCTGTGGAATAATCACTTCGCTGGTTTCTGCAAGACTAGCTAAATGTGTGTGCGCAAAAGTAACATTCTCATAGCAGGCGCATCAGCCGGCACAGACTCTAAAGTGGGATCAGAAGTAAGCGGAACTAGGTAGAATACAGTATTCCTTGAACTAGACTTTCAGAACTGATTGATAAATTGGGTAGCGGCTCAATCGATAGCACGAGGGACTGTTTACGGCGACCAAGAAGTGGAGGGCTTGACTCTTTGCAACTGCAATTCCGTGACCTCGCTCGATGTGCCGAGATGGGACGACTCGCACGAGCCCCACGGGTTCTAGTTTTCCCGGCGAGCACTAGCAGACCTGTGTGTGTTTCACTGCCCTCTTGGAGGTCTGAAAGGAGGGAAAAGAAAGATTTGAATCCTACAGTTCAAGATGATATCATGGGCTATCTCAGAATTGGACATGCCAAAAAGTTCTTGTCTGTCTCTTAGCATAGGGCCATTTGCTCTAGCATGAGGGATTGTGATATTTCCTGAATCATCATAGGCTTAAGCCACCTTTGCTTTGAGCAGCTTCTTGACTGAGACATGGTGGAATCTGATCTCCCTCAGCTGTACGGCATCTCATGGAGGAGAGAGCATGCATGTGACACACCGACCACGAGCCATGAATCTGACTGAATGTTCTTGTATCCATAAATCCCTGAGGCTTCGGCTTATATCACGTGAATTCAGTAGATCACGTGGTATACACGTAAGAAGAAAGGCGGTCTTAAATGGGGTTCGAATTTTATCAAGTTCAAAGTTCTCAAAAGAGCTATGAGATGCATGGGCTCTTTCATCATATTTAGACCACTGATCGGGCCAATATGGATCTCAGGTTTTTCGAAATATATATATCAGTTTTGTCAATTTTGAAATGTTAAAGACTCTTTCGGAACGACGGTGTATTGGACGCAATGCACTTTATATCTCACAATAAATGTTTAAATTGGATCGGTTAGTGAATACAAAATATCGCGCGTGTCGTGATTACAAAAGTTTTGCCCTTAAAATGCATTATTGTTTGTGAACTTTATTAACTTGGGTCAACTTCCTCCAAAAGTTTGTTCAATAATTCTTTTTCATTCTGGTGATTGCTGAAAATCTTTTAGATCAATCAAAATTTCATCCGTGACTGGTCTAAACTCTTCCCGATTCTTTCTTTTAACCTTCACTATTTTTCAATCCGTTCAGCACCAATTTGAAGTACTTGTTCTTACAGTTCAATGACAAGTTTTAATATTCTAAAGCTCCGTTCATTTCACAGAAAATAACTTCCGGGAAAACGTTTTTCGGATTTTCTGGTATTCGGTTCATGGAAAATAACTTTTCACGGAAAACATTTTCCTTCCTATGGATAAAACTTCTTCACTTTTGAGGAAAATGAGGAAAACAATTTCCCGGAAGCCTTCTTTCACCATTTATTTTCACTATTTTCTTTATCTTTTTTTTTTTCCTTCTTCTTCTTCTTCCTCAACCGGTCGTCAGTCACGGCGGCGGCTGGCGACCGGCCAGCTTGAGCCTCGCCACAGGCCGGTGCGGCTGAGCTCGCCCAAGGCCGGTCGGGCGAGCTTGGGCCTCACTAGATCCGACGAGCTGGGCGAGGCTCGCCTCACCTTGCCTCGCTTGAGATCGCCAGACGTCGGTGAGGCTCTGGCGACCTTGAGCCTCGGCCAGCTCGCACGATTGGCCCTCGACCTCGAGCCTCGCCCAGCTTGCCCGATTGGCCCTAGGCGAGCTCGACCTCGCCGGAATCTAGCAAACTTGGGCCTCGCCGAAATCTGGCAAGCTCGAGCCTCGCTGGCCTGTGGCAAGGCTCGAGCTCACCTGTGGCCAGTTGCCGGCCGCCGCCGTGGCCAGCGACCTGCCCGAGAAGAAGAAGAAGGAAAAGAAGAAAAAGAAAAAGAAAAAGAAAAATATTTTTAATAAATAAAAATTATTAAAAGTATTGCAATGAGGAAAATATTTTTCATACCAAACAACGAAAAATATTTCCAAGACTTTTTTAGATTTCAGCCGAACACCGAAAAATTGTGTCATTTTTCAGGAAAATGACTTGCGGGAAAACATTTTCCATAAACGTAACTTTTTCCACGAAACGAACGGAGCCTAAAATAGAAAATCATCAGAAAATTAGAAACGCACTGTTTCCAGAAAAGAAACCTAATTCACTTCGGGTCGATCCAAACGCCAATGCAGTCCATTTTGATTTCATCTCCCTCCGACCGACATCAGTTCGGCTCCGTTCGATCTGGCGTCCACCAGCACGAACCGGATTGGAACCGTGCTCATCCCTACTCTCTCAACGGTCAAGTCGGACAAATGGGACCCACCCGATCGAACGGCACGTAGCGTACGCCCGGCCCGGGAAAGTGGCGAAGAGGCTACGAGATCATGGGCATCACACGTACATATCATGGCCCGACCAAGATCCGGTGCAATCGACACGGTAGCCCCAAATCGTGTGGCCGCCCATACGGTGCGCGACTCCCGCTTGATTGAACCTTTTTAGCGCGTACATGAAGAGAAGAATGCTCCTCCATATCAAATCGCCAACACTCCTCTATCTTAAGTGGGGTCATGAAATGGGGGTGATCGTATGGTCCTCGTGAGGCTCCGTGCTTTCGTGATCTTTTCACCTGGAAAAGGTTGTGATTTTCTCGCTTTTCGAACATGTGGGGAAAAGCACGGGGGGGACACGGTGCCTCATGGGGACCATAGGAGTGACCCCCCATGAAGTTGGCCTAATCGTGGATTTCAAGGAAAAAGGTAACGCCGAATATAATTGATTATAAGAAAAATGGGAGAAAAAGTTTTAAAACAACCGTAAACTTATTGTATTTGTACCAATTCAGTCTTAATGTTTTCAATTGGACCAATTTAATCCTAAACCTTTTCGTATTGGTACAAATTCAGTCCATTCGATCAATTTAGGCCGAAAATCGCTGATGTGGGCACCGGCGGTCTTAGGTAGCACGGATGACGCTGACGTGGAAAAAATTTATAATTTTTTAAATAATTTTTCAGAGTTTTTTTTTAAATATTTTCCTCTTTTTCTTTTCTCTTTTTTTTTTTCTTTTTCTGTACACTTTTGGCTGGCGAGGTCATCGGCCACAGGCGAGGGCCCCTCTGTGCCCTCGCCCAGATCCAAGTGAAGGCCTTCGCGCCCTCGTCGACAACAGGCAAGGGCGTCATGCCCCCGCCCACCACGAGCGAGGGCCTTCATGCCCTCACCTGTGGCCGACAAAGGCGTGACGGCCCTCACTCGTGGCGGGTGAGGGTCGTAATGCCCTCGCCTAGATCTGGGCGAGGGCGTCGCAGCCCTCACTGGCTAACAGGAGAGGGTTTCGGCCCTCATCTAGATTTGGGTGAGGTCATCGGGCCCTTGCTCAGACCAGCCTGTGGCTGACAACCTCGTCGGCTAACAACGTATAGAAAAAGAAAAAAACATCAAAAAAATAAAAAAAAAAACTATTAAAAATTATAAATTTTGTTCACGTCAACGCCAGCCGTGCCACGTCGGACCGTCGGCGTCCACATTAGCGATTTTCCGGCCTAAATTGGCCGGATGGACTAAATTGGTACCATTGCGAAAATGTTTAGGATTGTATTGATATTAATGCAATATGTTTAGGATTTTTTTGGTACTTTTCCCTGAGAATGGGATTTCCCAATTCAGGAACTGGATGTTGCCATTTGAAATTTCACCAACTGCATGCAAACTATTTTGGGTCGAGAGGCCATTTGCATAGATCAAAGGCTTGGACTCGGCCGGTTTTGTAAGGCTTGTAGAGCACTCCATGAGCCTTTGGGCAACCAAGCGTCTGCGCTCGTGTCCCTATGCCATAAGAAGAATATCGATTATGAGAGAATCAAATGTACATGCAAGACAAAAGTTATTTATCATGCAAGATTTTGTGCAATCTTTTACGAATCATAATGTTCGAGCCGACGGGCCAGCATACCCTACATTTCTCGATTCTCATATGATAAATTGTATTGGTATGTCGAGGACAATAATTTACAAGTATTTTGTGTGTATCTATATTTTAAGTTAATTCATAATAATGTTTAAACATTTCTAGGAGCATATAGAGAGAATTCACATTGTCAAGAATTAAATGTTCCTTTTTTTTTTGTTACTTCAATATTATCATCTTCTGATTGGCCAGATGAAACACGTCACCATCTTCGGAATTCAGAGTCGGATTGCGAAAAGTACGTGAACTCAAGCTTTGTTTTTACCAACTTAAGCGTTAAGCCTTGTTAAATCTGAATTGTAATCGTGGGCTTTCGTGAAATCACGTCAAATATGATCGTATCAAGCCTGTTTACATGTCATTCTAGCTTTCCTTATTGTCAATTTCGTTTACTTTTAGTAAGATTGAAATCAAACCAAATCCCAAGAAACGGTTGGGTTCTGTTTGCGAACCGCTCTCGACTCGGACCAAACTGTCAATAAAAATGGTTCAATTCGGTTCGGATTAACGGGTTTGAAGAGCTTTTGCTCACTCCTATCTTTTGGGCAGACCTAATAAATCACGACCACGTATCCGTCTTTGAGCCCGACTCGCAAAATCTGAGAATGCACCTTTAGTACGTTTGTATCTAACATGAGAAAGTGTTTAAAACTAGATAGAACTCGTGGAATTCGCCGCTTAGATAGACAGTATGGCTCAGGCAAGAAGTGCACAGATTGAACTCACTGTAGTTATCTTCATGCCGGTGTTTGCGACCGCCCTAGACATCACTATAGAAATTCCAGACCCGTGATCGGAATGCTCGATGAGACATGACTACAACTCATTTTGAGCAAACCCCGTCACCGCCAGATGCAAGTTGGAATAAAGCCGGGGTTATCCAATGCCAAAGTCCCGTCCTTGGAAGGGAAAGAGTTGGTAGGTATACAGAGATTGAGAACAAGCTCTCAATATGGCTACACACTTAGATATGCTCTTTTCAAGCTAAAGCCTCACTTGAAACTATCAATACAATGAAAATGGAAATTTATTAAAGAAGCAAAACTTAGGGCTTTCTCCCCCATAAGGTTCTTGATCATAAAACAAAATGGTACACAAGCAGTCACGAAATGAAAACAACTAATGGGATTAGAATCATTTAAAGAAGAAATCGACCGGGCCTTCGTACATATATTAGCTATAGTTAACCATCTTTGGATGCTTAATTACGTGAGCAGTTGTTTGTATACAGTTGTAATTCCATTATCAAAACTTCGAGGGAAAATAACGCAAATGGTCCTTGAACATTGGCTCAATATACAATGCCGTCTTTAAACTTTTAATTTGTTCAATGTAATCCTTTGAACTTTGACCCAACGTACAATGTCGTCCCTGAAATTTTAATTTATTCAATATGGTCCATGAACTTTTGGTATATGTTGAATTTAATCCCTAAATTATACGAAAATGTCTAGTATTGTCTTTTCATTAATCCAAGTTAACGGAAATTGTTAATTTAGCCTGCAATCCGGTAAGTTTGAACAGTAGACAAAAGAATAACGTTATATGTATGATATCTATGTAAGATGTTCAACTTAAATCAGGATATAATAATCCCTTTAATTTTTTTAATTCGTTCAATCTTGATATATCTTGATTTGAGTCAAATATCTTACGTAGATAACTCATGCGAAACGTTATTTTATTTTCCACTGTTCAAACTTACCAGAATCAAGGCCAAATCAACAAATTCCGTTAACTTGAATTAATGGAAAGATAACATCGGACATTTTCATATAAGTTCAGAAGCTAAATTGAACATGTACGGAAAGTTCAGAGACCGCATAAAACAAATTAAAAAGTTCACGGACGACATTGCGTGTCGGATCAAAGTTCAGGGACCATCCGTGCAGTTCACCAAACCTTTTTAATTCCTATAGGATCGCCTAGCCATGCAAAACAGAAGTAGCCTTTGTCATTGGAGCAACCCTCCTAACTTTATGTTACCCCCAAATAATTCCACACCCCGAACGATACAAAAGATCCTCGTCACGGCTCGCCCCCACTTCCCCAACAAGACTACATCAATTCGCCCTCCTTCCCACGTCGTGCCGGGATTTCTCAGGAAAGAAACAAGCAATTCCCCAATTATTTGCAGGCCAAATTTCATAATTGGAGAGAGACCCAATGTTGTGTCCCATAACACCAGCCATTCGTATGGCGAAGCAGGACGTGGGCTCGAAACGAAGCTAAATCGTCCATTGCGAAAAAATCGCTGTCCGACAGCTCATGTCGGATGTACCGACCTGGCGTTACGCCGTGGAGTTCTTGCATGGATTGGAAACAATTTCGCTAAACCGGTACTCGCCCGGTAAAATCGTCCGCCGGGGCGAGCCCCTCTCTCGAGATCTTCCCTTCACTTCGAATCTTTAGATGCTCAGAAGAACATGAAAACAACCTTCGAATGGAGGAATTTCGGATATCATCATCTTTTTCTTCTTCTTCTTTTGATGTTTTTATTATGTTCTACACTTCATTTCGACATTGTGTGCCGTTCTGGCGTGAGAATGAAAGTAGAGGCCCCGCGAAATGGACTTGTCCAATCATATGTCTTTTCTTCGATGTAACAAATTGGAACATTGTACGTGAGAAAAAACACAAGACAGGAGCTGTCTTCATCCCACCCTTCGCAATGTTTCGACCGAGAGGATGAGTACATCATATAATGAATCGCGAAGATATTATTTCAAAGCGCAGGGAGCACTTGCAGTCATTCCGCCTCCGAAACTACACTGAGGACGACGTCTGATGCGATCCGTCTATTTAAATGCTCGTTTTCGGTTCATTATGTCACTTGATATGCCGATTTTAGAGGCCGGATTCAGTATGCTCTTCCATTTTCACGCCCTTTTACTATGACAGATTTTGACATCTATGTCTTTCCGTAGTGACAACGGAGGGGTATCCGAACTTTTGGCGAGCGACTAATCCCTTATTGATACACACAAATGGCTCTGCCGACTTGCATTGGATAAGACTCCATTCGTAGGATGGCTGGCTTGGCCCTCGAAGTTAACTCTTCTTTTAATGCGGGAACCCCATAAAAATGCGGCGCTTCATTCAATCGAACAAAAATGGAGCTCGCTTAAATTGCGATCTCTATCATAGTACTAGGTTTCGGTACAGGAGGATAAATGTTATATCACTGTCTGGCGGTTGGCTGTGCACTTTGAAGAAGGTAATTTTGAAGAATTTCTTCCTTAGTGGACTCGGTTGGATCGCAATTGTTGATTTTGTGAGTCCCATGTAAGCCTCATATGTGGCTCTCACAAGATTGACGATCGTTATACATACCGTATTCAGACAAGTATTTTTCGGTGATTTCGAATCATGACTAGATTCATGGCAACAATTGCTGTTCATTGAGTATAAATGTGCATGTTCTTAAGAGATGGGTGGAAACAAAGAGAAGGATTTTGTTAAACATGGACATCAAAACATACTTGTGAATCTGGAAGAAGAAAGATGAGATCCTTCATCTCTCTCGACGTTTCCGTTCGATAATCCATCCATCCAAAATCACTATTTCACGAGAATAATTACACAAATGAACCTTGAATAAGGGTTATCTTTTGCCCGCCCACGGATTTAGCAACAGTTCAGAAAGTCGACCTATTGTGGAATCTCAGAATCTACGCTTATCTTCGACTCTCCAAAGTAGTTCGTCAGTTACACCGCCCTTCCTTGTCTCTGGATGCCTAGGTAGCGAGAACCAAACCCATATTGCTAGCTTGGAAGGCCAGGGGTATTAATCGATGTTGATTTATCACTTGTGACGTCTCTAATTTAAAACCGATTATAAAACTTTGGTTTCACTCACCTCCTTATGGAAAATGGATAAATTCCTGGATATAGATATATCTACGATAAGACATGAATAAAATGGAAATTAGAACCATCACATTCGGATCAACTGTACAAAGTACTTGAAATACAGTAAAGAAGTACCATTCTTGTAATATTTCCAAAGGAGTTGCCAATTTATTACAAAAGAATACCCCAAACTCGTCGCATAGAATTGCACAAAGGTAGATTGGTGGGTTCGAACATCTCATATGCACATCATCCATAGACACGTTAAAGTTAAATGCTCTGTTTGTTTATGGGAAAATGAATAATTTGAAAAATATTTTCTAAAAAATATCTTTTATATCGCTTATAAAAATGAAAAAAATGAAATCGTCCACGAAAATGATTAGACATAAATTATTGTCGATAACGACAATATTTTTCATTGACTAATAATTTCAAGCGGTATAAACAATCATTTTTAGAATAATATTTTCATCATTCGCGAAAATGATAAGACATAAATGGTCATGATCGGAAGAGATTTCCTCTAATCTCTAGCCGGGATGGAGAAAAACACCCGCTTACATCTCTCTTCCTTCCTGCCATCAAATCATAATTTTGAATCTAAGTCATCGCCGCTACACATCCATTAGCCATAGCCGCCACCGCCGCCGTGATTTCCGCAGCCGCATTGCCAGAGACAAGTCTCTCTCTCTCTCTGCGGCCGCATTGGAAGTACTCTCTCTACATGTCGGGTGACCTTCAGTTTGATACTTCAAACTCCATTTCAAGATTCTGTGAATGCTGCTCGTGTGACGTGACAGAAAGAGAGAGAGAGAGAGAGAGAGAGAGAGAGAGAGAGAGAGAGAGAGAGAGAGAGAACGATGACAGGAGGAGTAGCGCTCCAAGGAAATGGCAAATGGCGACGAGGAGCAGCGGCGGAGCGCGCGTTTGGTTTCGCAGTCGACACGGTTTACGCAACAGCAACGTGGTTGCGATGGAGGCCCAGATCCTGAAAACGAGAGCTTTTTCGGGAAAGCCCCGATTAACAGGTGTACTACAATTTGCTTTGCATGCATGATTATAACACCAATGGTCTGCCCGTCACATGATGCTGACAAGACGCCAAAAACTGAATACGATCTGTCGAAATTAGGAGGTCCCCATCGGTGGCTCGCCATCCACATAAGAAGCTGCACCATCCTCTCCCCCCCACCTCTCTCTCATTGCTTGCCTTCCCCTCTCGCTCTTTCGCTCCCCCACCGTCTCAAAACCTATGACAAGATCCTCCTCCTCTCGTCCCTCTACAGTCTCCCAGTCCCTCTTTTCTCGCTTCCCACTTGCTGCTGTCTAAAGCACAAAAAGGTCCCTAAGTACATGGAAAGAAAACCATCGTGTGTATAAGCCCTGATTCGGTTCCCACCATGCAGATTTGAACCCATCCCATGGCTGGTCCAAGCGATAGCTCGCCCTCACCATCACAATCCACCACGCTGCCCTCGCCCCGGTCGACCATGCCGCGCCCCGTCGTCGGGCCCGACACGACCCAGCCGCGGCCCAAGAGGGCCCGGGACAACAGCAAGCACCCGGTCTACCGGGGCGTCCGGATGCGGGCCTGGGGAAGGTGGGTGTCCGAGATCCGCGAGCCCAAGAAGAAGAACCGGATCTGGCTGGGCACTTTTGCAACCCCGGAGATGGCTGCGCGCGCGCACGACGTCGCCGCGCTGAGCATCAAGGGCAGCACGGCGATCCTCAACTTCCCCAAGCTCGCCAAGTCACTGCCCCGGCCGGCCTCCAACTCGGCGCGCGACATCCAGGCCGCCGCCGCTAAAGCTGCTTCCATGGCTTGTCCACATTCGATGCAGTCATCGTCATTGTCGCCGTCGTCATCATCATCGTCCCCGTCATCATTATCAATGCTGATGCCATCGTCTTCGTCTTCGTCGTCATTGTCAATGATCGACACGTTATGGCCGCCGGCAGATGAATCGACGACAGAGGAACTTAGCGAGATAGTCGAGCTGCCGAGTCTCGGCACGAGCTACGAGTCGCCCGAGTCCGGAAGCGAGATCGTGCTTGCAGACTCGTTGGATGGTTGGGTGTATCCGCAATGCCACAGCGAGGATTCTGGTCTCTTCAGCGATCAAATGTTGATGGCAGACAGTGTGATCACCGCTGGTTTCGAGGCCTCTTTGTGGGATTACTAATGTCAGTAGCAGGTCTCCCTCCGTGCCAATCTGTTCTAATATACCGTCTTTGTCCTCTCTCTATGGTGGAAATTTTGTTCTTTCCTTTTTTATCTCAAGTTCTTACATGTTTCCCTTGTGTTCTACATATTCGAATACGACGAACTGTACATTTTATGTAGAATGTCCAAGTTTCGTATGTGAGCAGTCTCCCGTGACCACAAATTCTAAAGGGAAACGTACGATTAGCTGACGGTGCCGTCATTTTGCAAAATGCACGGTACAACAACATCAGCCACACGTTTTTATTGAGGAAATAGGAACACTGGTTCTACCGGTGGCAAATTTCTTTTTTTACTTCCTATGGCTTCCTATTTTCTTGGCTTAATTTAGCATTTAGAGAATTTAAAACAATACTGAAATCACAAGTAGAAAAATTCCAGTCAGTGGATATTTTTCCATCATAGAAAAGATTTGAGCAGGCTCGGAAATTTTAAATTGCAACTTTTAAAGGAGTGAATATCATTCTCCACCAAAGATAAAATCTGGGGATACCGTTCCAAAATAAAATAAACTCGATAACTCAAAGAAATAGGAAGGTGACTATCTAATAGACTTTGTTGAACTTCCGATTATTTAGTATTTTGTAATTGATGAAGACATTACCGTGGAGAAAATTTCATTAGTCTCCACTTCATTAACTGCAAGAAAGTAAAAGGTATTTGTTGACGTCGAATTCTTGTTGGTGTCTGTTATTATATATTTTAGACATACCATACTTAATTTTTTTCCCAATCTCATTGAAATGGATAGAGTTCGTACTTCATACTATTCGCGACCCAGGATTCTATTTTATCAGCAATCCAATCACTGTTCACATTTTTTCTTTTTCTTATCAATGAATATATCTCTTTACTTGTATGACTTAGATGTTTCGTCTTTTTCCAAAAAGTGATTCGATGGACGAGATTTTGTATGATACTTATGAAATCGATGAGATTGATATTCAAATATTTCTTCTTAGAATGTATTGATTATCTAACAGATTTGCATTTATGGAATGATTTTTCGTCTACTAATTATTATTCTTGTCTTAATATTTTCTTTAATTCATCTGTTATTATGCATAATTGATATCAGCGGTCTTTCATTTTAGATCATCAAAGAGTCCTTCTATAGCAAATTTGATTTGAACGAAAGGAACGAGGAGCCATTTCATTGCACAATGATTCAATTTTGATATTAGTTGTAAAGCCAATATTTTAAATATTTTTTCATCTTTATAATGTAATAGATTCTATTAATGATTTCTTCTAAATTAGCGATAATATTTTTTTACTTGTAAATATCTATATTTCTGTATTTAAATTGCTTTTCCATCTTCATATTCAAAATGTGCCACTTATTGGGATTTTTCCACTTGTGATTTCGGTACTGTTAGCTAATAAATTTCCTTTTCAAATCCTCCATATAATATTAAATTAAGTCAAGAAAATAAGAAGCCATTGGAGTCAAAAAAGAAAAAAAAAAATGAAGCCGCTGGAACCAGTCCCCCTATTTCCTCCATGAAAAAATGTGGCTGATGTTGGACCGTTTCTACGGTCACGCAAGCCCTACCGTTAGGCTAGCGTGCTCCAATCCTAAATGTTGATGCCTCTTTCCAGTGGAATTTGCTGCTGCACTGTATAAAATGACCTGCTGTATATAATCTTGTTCATCGTCATCTTCTTTTGGGACGGAAACTTGGTGTTCTATCAGAGAAAGGAAACAGACAAACTAATCAACATCACGTGTTCTTGCTGATGACATTTCGTGGTTACGTACAATTATTGGAAGAAAATCATAAGAGAAATCTATAAAAATAAACTTATAAGGCCCGACAAAATGTAGCATAAAGAAAATAATAAAAAAAAAAGGACCTAAAAAAATTGGCAAGTTAGGAGGTTTGACTTTTGTTAGTTGTGACTTGTCATCACTAATCTTGCAATTTACCGCTAAAAAAGCCTCCTCCTGACTTTGATGTAAAGCCAACGGATATATTCTTGAATTCCCATAGTATACAATTAAAATAAACAACCTTTTACGCTTTTAATCATAAATCAATTGACTTAGCATCAATCACAAGTCGAATTTCAATTAACTTGCCGGACCTCATCAATATTTAAGTATTAGATGATCACCGTATGAAACATCAGATTAGGGACGCAAACTTTGTAACTCTTATCGTGATCGAGAACGAGCCACTCGTTTTACTAGGGTTTGATGAGGAACGAGAGACCTTGCCAACTGGCATGGAGACCCGGTTACGAGTGGAAAACTGAGTTCAGAACTCGCACGGGGATGTCGCGACTCGTGATGTGCTAAAAGCGAAATTTGTAACCTTAGTTACAAGTGGCTATTATAATATATTATATGGCATGGAATAAGGTAGAAAGCAAGCAATCCAAGGACTTCAGTTTCATTTTCATCAGCGCCACCTCATGCAATGGGAGATATTTCAGATTCTTAGGTGACCCCTTTCCGTTGAAAAGACAAAAGGTGACATAATCAACGTTAGTTCTCACTTTATTGTCCCTTGTAAAAACTTGAAACCAAGTGATTAGTGTTGAGTTCCCTTATGGGAAAAAGAAGAGTAAGAGCATGATAATTGAGGATGTAGTACTGTTACCTTTCATCATGGTGTCTAGAATCCTAGATGTCATTGCTTTTGTTCTTCATCGATTTTGATGGAACGAGAAACTTACTTTCATTAATTTTTTCGCTTTTCCAAAGATTGAAATAAAGGTGTACTAGGATATGGTTGAAAGGAAGATATTGCCTCTTTGAAACAAAAGAGGACAAACAAAAGCAAGACGTAGTACATTGGCCCAGACAATGTGATCCGTTGGATCCTTAGGACTTCACATGAGACCCACACGATTCAATAGATAATATGCATTGCGCCAACTGCACTGGGTGGATCCAATAACTTTGCTTAGTAGAAAAAGTAAAGGTAAGTGATTTTCCTTTTTTGGATGATGTCAAAAGGCAAATGAATTATTATTGGGTGGTTGAAATGACTTAATTTTGATTAATATTTAAGGGTTAATACCACAAAATATATCAAATTATGTCCACTATTACACAAATATCCCGACTTTTTTTTGTATCACTAAAAACACTAAACTTGCCCATTTGACACAAATACCCCAAACTTTTTTTCAAGTCATAAAAGACCCGGAACTTATACTAGTGTGACAATTATACCTTATATGAAACTGAAATAGAAGTGGTATATGTTACACATGCATAAGTTTGGGTTTTTTTGTAACACAAAAAAAGTTGAGGGTATTTGTGCCACGGTAGATAAGTTTAGGGTTTTTGCAAAAAATAAAAAAAGTTTGGGATATTTGTGTCACAGTAAATATAGTTTGAGGTTTTTTGTGGTATTTTCCCTAATATTTATATTGGTAGGATCATTTTATCTTAAATATGCATTTGTAATTTAACGTGTTATTTGAGAAGTCAATTTAATTGACATCTCTATTATTTAAAAATGCTTTTTCTTTATGATTTTGTCTAAAAAAAGAAAAAAAGGAGGAACATTATCCAATCAATCAAAAACTTATTGTACTATGCCAATTCAATCCTAAACTTTTCAATTTTATTAATTTGATCCTAAACCTTTGCTCGAAAATTCAAAATAGTCTTCCCGATCAATTTTCGCCGAAAATCCCTAATGTGGCGGTCAAGTCATCGTTGACCGTCCTACGTAGCACACTGCCGTGTTAGCGATTTCCGAGGGAAGTTGACCGAAAGAACTACGTTGGAATACCGCGTAAAAGTTCGGGACAAAATTGATAAAATAGATAAATTTATGATCGAATTGGTATCCGCATAGTATATTTATGATCCATAGAACAATTTGCCAAAAGAAAAAAAAAAAAAAGGAAGGTTTCGTGTTCCACGTCGCCCAACGTGTTTCGTGAAGGCGTGAAAGGTGGTCTTCAACGTCAACTTCATGTCATAAATCTCAACGCGGGAGACGCCGCCCAATGATGTGAGCTTCATTGTTTGTAGCTACAGCCATGACTGAAGGAAAAGTTGATGTGATCCCCATTGCTTTCCAAAGCTCGAAGCAAAAGCCAAACATTCCTTTGTGTTTTCTTCTGTAAATCTCTCGAATGGCAACGAATCTGCTGCATCCGAATGATCACGAAAGAGGCAGGCCGGATCAGCAACAGTCCAAATGCATTTGTCTTGCTGATAAACCTCTGTTTAGCAGCATATGTACCCTGTGCAGCAGTACACACGTCTCGCGGCATGTCCGAATGCATCTCACGCTATTGTTTTACATGCGGTTGCTATCGACTTGGTGATAAATAGCCATCGAGCATTAATCATCGAAAATGAAACCCTCCCATAGGGAACCTTCTAATTTTGTTGGGGGGGGACATGTGATGGAACCCTACGGATCTAGTACGAGGGACCATAGGATGGACATTGACACGTACATAGCGACCAAGGAAACATTAGGGTACGCTTGTTTATTTCTCCATGAATTACAGGTGGGAACTGAACCACAATAGCAGGTTGCGGACGACCAAGTGAAAACTAGCATACACCAACAAGATTAGCGTTTTGCCGTATTCGCACGTTCTCACCACCATGAAAAGCTCATTTTCTGATCTTTGTGTTTCCTTTCACGAACCAAACGAGCAGTTCGTTGATTTCACGTATGGCTTACACGTTTTCGGTGCGGTGATATACTAGTCATTGTGCAAACGTCTAGCACAAGATGGCACGTGACGAGCGATTTCAAAGGGCACAATAATTGTTGCGGAAGCCAAGCGATCGAATAATAAAATTGACAGAATAAGAAAATAGATCGGACACCAGATTTACGTGGTTCGGTCGTAGTGACTTACGTCCACGGGGAGAGCAGCACGGAATTCCACTATAGATCAAGCGATACAACGGAAATTACAACCACACTCGAGTCACTCAAACACTCTAAGTGTTTCCCAAGCCCCAATTACACCCAATAGCTCACGCAGTGTTTAGCCCCACAATTACTCACGAAATAATCTCTCAATCTCACGAAGGAATTATACACAAATCTTATCATAAGATTTAATCTGCTTCAATACTAACTTCATGGATGTCATTCACGAATTCCCTCTACACGTCTTCGCACACCAAGCA